ATCATTATTTACCGATCAATTGATTGTTATTTATTTGGTTAGTAATTATAAAATTAATAAATTAGTTTAAAGTATTCATAAAGAAATAACCATTTAAAAAAGAAATATTTTCTTTAATCATTTTGTTCTACTGGTTTTCTTTGCATCATAGTATGTTTAAAGGTGGCGTTCAATCCATCGATTGAATAAATATTTATCAAAAACCATCATATATATATATATATATATATGGGAATGAAAGCAATTTTCCAGCTGAAATTTAGGTTGAATAACTAATAATTTCTTTTGTTTCAGTTAATTACATTAATACTATTGAATCGAAAAAAAAACTTGCAAATTTCACATGTTACTTTATAGTGTTGGTTACTAGGTTAAGTCAATATAACTTATTCTAGCTTCTGGACAGGTGAATTTATCCATTTTTGTTGAGACACGTTTTGACACTTGTTAATTAGTCACTTATCATCGCTGACTCTTTTCATATGAGCGTGTGTGTGCACCTCATCCTACTCATCACATATCTGTAGCTTATCTTTGTGTGACTATAAATATCGATTAGTGCTTGATTAAATGGAGTTGGTTCACACGCCATCTCCACTGCATGTCATTTCGCTTTGTTCTCTTTTCTTCGCTTTATTCGCTGCAATTCTCTGATTGTCTGTTCCGACCAACGAGTGTACAAAGTATTTGCCTTATTTAATTCCGTTATTCGCCAACGCGATTTAAGTCGATAATTTTATACGAGGATTGGTGATATGTACATTTTAATAGCACTCAAAAACAATCAAACTTGAGTCAGATAAAGGGCCATTAAAAATTAACTCAATGCAATTAGATTACATTAATTGCGCAGTAATCTGAATATTTTTATACAGTAAGATTAAATGTTACATTGTATGCTCCTTTTCATTTAGAGTTCGCTTATTTGACACATTTATCTTATCAAGTATGAAACATACGTATTGATCGAATTTCGAAATGTATTATTTTATCACATCGACCATTGAAAATCCATCAATATTTTATTATTTTTTTGTTACCATGAGTTTTATAATACGATTAACGTGAACTCAAAATTAAGGATAACATTGACCTATGTGTTTTTTATTGAATCAAATTAACTTAACGTTTTAATCTACAGTTTGTGACTTTATATCAGTCATAGTACCGGGGTCATGTAATGCTTAGTAAAAGAAGCACCGTGCAGAATTTCATATTTACCTAATAAAATAAGTATATTTGATTTCGCGGTAACTATAATGACCTTTCACTATTCAGCGTGAAGCGATTAAATATCTATATCTCGTCATAATTATCTCAGCTATTCTGCATGGATAACTGTTTACATCATGTACAGCTGAACAGCTTATGGACAATATTAGCAAATAATAATTTTCATAATTTAAAACATAGACTGATCTTAGCTTGATGATCGTTGAAAACCTGTAATTACTGGATTGCCATTTTGTCTTAGCATGCAACTCTTCAACAGTGCACATCCAAAATCCTATCAGAGATTTGATCCGAAGTCTTTTGTGACGATACAACCACAAGATCAATGATTCGGCATCCAACAATTTCAATGTTTTACTTCAATCAATACTTAATACTGCACAATCCTCATACATCTCTTGTTGTGAATAACTGTTACCGATTTAATATCAAGAGTTAAATTTTTTGTTGGCAAATCAATAAATAATTTAAGTTCCTCGACAGATAATGTGAAAAATAATTAAATCATTAAACTTTTAAGCAAAAATAACCCACCTCAATTCAATACAATTACTTAAGTAAAATTTTACTGTAAAATAATAATATTAAGTGGATTGGTTGATGTTAGACACTACCACTACTGGATCCCAGCTCAGTGGTCTAGTATGTTAAGCATTCGCGCGCGAGACCAAAGTTCCTGGGTTTGAATCCCGCGAGCGGGATCGTGGATGCGCACTGCTGAGGAGTCCCACAATAGGACGAAACGGCCATCCAGTGCTTTCAGGCTTCCGAAGGTAATCTAACATCAATCGGTTCATGTTCTCAATCAAAAACTTAATAATCTCCACAACCCCTATACTAGTAATATTAAGTGAGCTCATTTTATTTTATAAGCCATAAGTTTTCAACAACAAAAAATAAATAAATAACGCAATAATTTTCTAAGCAATATATGAATTATTATTGTTTCTTTTTGTTTACAAATGTATTTTATTCTTTTTTAAAAATAAACATAAATTAATTCAGTTTGCTCGTAAAATTAAAAAAAAAGAAATAATAATCATAAAAATATTTTTAATTTATTGCAATACAATAAGCGTGAAAATTTAAGATATAATTAACTGTTACTTGAATGTTTCTATATATAATCATTCTTTTTACCGGCAAAGTGAACCAATATATAGGCATTTGATTAACATAACTACTTCTTCGTATAAATACACATTTCATTTACAAATCTGTGTATAAAATTCATTGTATTCACTTTATCCTACAATATTTATTGTTCTAAAATTAATTGAATTCATTGTAACCTATAAATTATATTTGTTACTGATAATGTTAATAAGAAAAAAAATGTAATAAAGTATTTATTATACATTTACATAAAAAATAATCACTGTTTCTTAGTTTGAACTATGAATCAGATTATCTATGGGAATTTTCAAAACATAAGCTACATACAATTAATTGTTATAGTACCAATAATCAATAAGTAGTAGTTTGAATTCACATGACGGTATTTAAAACATAATGATATGTATGTACGATGTTACTGAACTTCAAAAGAATGATTTATTCAATGTGATTAGTGTTCTTTTAGCAAGGTTTTTTTTCTACGGAATGGGGTTGCTGACCCGATGCCCAACTCTCCTCTTTTATCCGGGATTGAGAATGACAGTAACTTTAAAAGAGCTACAGGCAGAGTTCAAAAGAATGGTACCGTATAATTATTTATTTTAAATCCTTTTTTAAAAATATCTATATATATATATATATATATATATATATATATATATATTCAACTTTATTGAATCTAATACAGTTTTATTCTAGAATGTTTGGTGCAGAAAAATTTGTAACATGTTGCACTGAATGTAGTACGGAATGAACATAAATAAAAAAAAACTCAAAAACACTTGTGTACAAAATATTAGCGATTTTTCAACATACAATTTATTCTCATCATAAATTGTACATGAATTAAATATTTTATTGTATAAATATCCTTTTGATTCATACTTCACACTAAGGTCATTTATTGAATTCTAATGAATTGGGCAATATATTGTAGAGAAATAGTTTTAACAAAGAATTAAGTATATCGATTTATTAAACAATAACTAGTTTAGTGTTTCTGCAATCGGTAAAATGATGGAGAAGATTCACGGTCTAAATGGATAGTTTTCTTGATGTTTTATTCCCTGAGCTATGGGATTTAGATGTAGAGTTTCAATTATCATTATGGACAACAACACGACTTACTTTATATAGCAATCAACTTTCTAGCTATTCCATTAATGGCATATCAGTTTGTTTCGTTTGCCTTGTTTGCGGTTGGCAATCTCCATAGGTTTTGTTGTCTTTCTTTGTCTTTGCATTTACATTGAATATCATTGTTAGTTAGCTGCTAACCTGTGTCGATGTGGCTGTTCGTTGCTAAATGATCTGAATGCTATGCTTCCAGAATGTTTAACTATTAGATAAGGCTTTTTTCATCGTAATTAAAGATAATCTTTGGTTGTAGGTTTATAAATATGCTAGAAAACACTGTCGTTCGAATTATTTATATCTATGTTCATTATGTACAATAGATCTATTTGCTGTCAGTTGGTATGAAACACATAATTACTTCACAATTTAGTAAAAAGAAGAACTCTCTATTCAAAAACGTTCTAAATAAACTGATATAACTGAATATAATATACCTATCATTCATTTTAAACACTGATCTCAAATTATATTTTTCAAGATTGTATATTTTTTGCCTATATTCAACGCTAGTAAAATATCTACTCCCATTTATAGTTTGCTAAAACAGATACAAAAAGTCTATTTCTCATTTATATTGTAATGGAATAACTGGTACACTTTAGACACGCAAAGTTCAAGATTAGCGTTTAGTGTTTTAAACAAACCCCAATAAGAATGTAAATATTCTATTAACTGTCTTTCATTGTATAGGGGTTTTCACTTTATATATATATCCATTTAGACCGTAAATATTACGAAAGGAATATTTTTGACATTGTTCTTTAATTCAGTCGTATTTTTTTACTTCACTGTTGGAATTAGAAGGCTAGAATAGAGTCAAACATACTAATTATTAGCTTAACTTTGTAATAAAAATTCATACTTTAATGATTGTTAATGTTTATTTATTTTTAGAGTTTACACTAGTTAACAAATGTCGAAGATAATTTAGGCGAACATCAATTTCTATGATCATTTGACTCATGTTCATAAAGGATAGAAACTGCATTCATGAACGTTTTACTTTGAATGTTATATTGCATGCTTCTGTCAGATACAAATGACAGAGGTGCACTAGAAAATCAGTTAATGATAACGAACGTTAGCATATCTACTAAAAGTGTGTTTTACAGTATGTAGTTATATAATAATTATAGTTCTCTGTGATCCAATGTCAATCAATTTTGTCTAGTAATTATATGAAACTATGAGCTGTTATTTGAATATGTTTTTAAATATTAAGCTAAGTACTTCGGAGATAAAAAAAATTTAATTTTTCAGTTTCCTTTAGTTCTTACTGATTCAGACGAATCAACTCCCCACCAAAGATACAGGATATTTATAAAAAACCGGCTTGTTAAATACTACAGTTAGTTTTGGATTTTTATTTATGTCGAATTGAAATCAAGAGAATTATTGGAATGTGTCTTACTTTACAAACTCCTTAGTCAAAAAGCGTGTGCAATATATATATTGAGTAAGAAACGTTATTATTAATGACTAATTATTCTACTTCTTTTTTGGTTATATTCTAGTTGTGGGACCAGGTAAAAATAAATCGGCAGCCACAGGTGGTCGTATTGAAAATCATCAACATGATAATTTAAATCAGCGTAACAGTTTAGGTAGTGGAGATGCAGAGGCTACTGAAGATAGCGGTGATGCACCTAAAGGTCGTAAACGAAGAAAGAAAAAGTATTCAGTGCTTCAAGCGAAGTTAACTCGTTTAGCTAGCTTAATTGGACAACTGGGTAAGTTAAATAACTTTGCAGTGTATCTTAACTAATGATCAATAAAACTTGTTAGGTTTCAAAGAGGTATTCTACTTTATTTGTACAATCCTAAAATATAATCTATTGTAATTTCATGGGAAAATGAATCCAGAGTATGTGCATTCTAAAAAGATCATAGATGTTTTGTCTATCATTAGTCGATCACCACTGGCAGATATAGCTTTAGGATATATTACAAAGCGTACTGTTTCCTAAATATCATTTTCAGCATGACTAAAGCTTTTAATATATCTGATAAGCTATCATCGTGTCTCCATAATTAGTGAAATTACCAATAACAATCTTCTATTTCGTTTAAGAACAAAGAAGCATTTGCTATTAATCGAAAAACAACAGGCAGTATAATTCATTCCAGCTTAATAATTACCAATTTTTATAGTATGGAAGCACAAAATAAAGGTCAGATGTTCACTAATGAGTTTTTAAAAAAATCAAGTCTATTCAACTAAACAAGATGGGAATAAAAAGTGATCACTTTATTTTAACTATAATTTTCACGGATATGGAATACTACTTCATCAATTTTGGCTTTTAATATGAGCATTTAGTAAGTTACAATTGTCAAACTGAACTGAGTACATTCGTATTTTCATAGTTGAATCAACGAGTTGATCTAAGTTAGACCAATACTTAAAACCTGGATGTACAGGTCATGGCTTCTCACTAGATTTCCAGGAGTTCCGTCTTGAAGATAGTCACTAGTGAGCACATGAATATTACCAGTATGGGGGTTTGTGGAGACTGTAGTATTCTCACCGTTCGATGCCATCTCAGTGGTCTAGAGGCTAAGCACTCGGGTCATGGGTTTGAGTCCCACGTGCAGGATCATGTATATACACTGCTGAGATATCTCACACTTCCAGATTTGAATAGTGGTCTAGCTTATATTGATTCGTGAATTCAACTGTAAAAATGCTACAATTTCTACAAATCCTCCTACTGATATTCATATTTATTTTATCTATAGAATTACTACTCAATGATAGACGTATAAAATAAGACAAAAATTGTTTACCAGTCGATTGATTATTCCTAACAGTCACTTATTTACTTTACTTAATGATAACAAACTTCAAAAGAGATTATTATGCACAAGACATGTAGAAATATAAATATCCTGATTAATCTTTTCGGTTTGTTAGATTATCCCAGCTCAATATTTTTCTTATCTACACTGAAGTAAACTAAAATTATATATGATTTTATACACACAGACAACTGTTATGTCATAAAACTAAATAAATCGCCTACTTAAAATTTCATCCAAATGTTTATCCTTTTCTTCTTTTCTTGATAAATAATGAAGTAATTACGTGAATGGCAGTCAAATGTATATCCAATAGTAATAAATAGGTCTAATAAATATGTTAAATAAACAAAAAATTAATTTTATATATAAATTAGACTTTAGACAAACTTCGTTCATACTGTGCACATATCAGTTAACTTTAATTTGATTGACAAAGTCAGTAAGAATTATAAAACATAACTTCATATGATATTTAAACATTTTTTCCAGAATTTCTGTTATTAACTAGCATTACAAGTATAGATAAACTAGTTCGTCCAGTTCTGATATACAATCTTAAAGCTGTTCGGTATATATAAATAAATCTAAATGATTGATTACCCTATTTTTAAACAAAATAAGGCTTAATCTAGCAGAAAGGGATCATAATTTCATTGAATTGAAATACAAACTTGCTGTTTTTAAACACTTCTAGCAAACTCTATTTACTCTATGATTTTATTAATTTATCATTTGGTAAAAATCAGCGCTTGAATAGAGTAAGATTTATGATTTTCTTAGTGAAATCATGTTATTCATCATTAGTTATCGGTTCATTTTCTCCCTTGAACTCTCTTGAACAAGTGTGATTCTCATAATAGTGATCTTTTTAAAAGACAGAAGCAAAAAATTCGTGATTTTTCTCATGTGTGAACACTTGTTACGTTGTCTTAAATGAGCCTGAAACTTTCAGACCATCAACAAATATGAAATACGCTATTTGTGATTTCACCCAGACATCTTAAGTTAAAAATACTGTTTACCAGACTGATTAGTAATTATTTTAAAACTTGGTAGGTAGAAATCTATTTAGATTTACAACTTGATAACCTGGCTCCAGTCATTAATAGATGTTTAATGAACCTATAGCTTCAATCTACTAAAATGCAAAACGTTTATGCCGCATGGTTCAAATATGGATGAATATATTATGCGCAAAAGATTGAAGTTAAGCTGATAATGGTGTTGTGAATGGAATCATTAACCAATTAGCTTTACTACTTGTTAGTAGGTGATAGAAAGTAATGGAAAAAAAGGAAAAAATCGTTTTCTATTGAAGAAGTATATGATTAGAGATCTAAGAATCCACGATAAAAGTGGAATGAAATAAGCCCATGTATTTGACTACCATTACTTCATAAACCGTTCGATGAACTGACTATCTTTCCATTTATTTGAACGTATTTTTTCCTAGTATTTGAGTGAAAAAACTAGACCAATAAAATTATTTATATTTCGTTTTTACTTGAAGTAAATTAAAAACCAAACCCCTCAAGTTTTTTAATGTTAACGATTGATTGGAGATCAAATAATCCGTGAATTCCGATTCATTATTTTTTTAAATGTTGATCGTTTTAATTCGAACTGTTCATTAATTTTTTTCGATAATTTAATCAAAATTATTAATTACCCTTTATTTTTTTCCTTTAAAGGTACCGTTGTGGCTAGTTTAACAGTAATAATATTAATTGTAAAATTTTCTGTCACTACATTTTATTTTAACAAAGAACACTGGGATACAGGCAGACATTTACATCAATTTGTACAGTTTATTATTATTGGTGTAACAGTACTTGTGGTTGCTGTGCCCGAAGGACTTCCATTAGCTGTAACTATTTCATTAGCCTATTCTGTCAAGAAAATGATGAAGGTAAGCAATTTAGCCCGTTGTTTTATGTTGATAAATAACATCGATGTATGTTGTTAGTTAGACAGTAGACGAATGGCTAATATTATTTCAACTTTGCACTCAAATTTTAAAGAAAGAATGTATTATTGTCTAGAATTTAATTAGAACTTCTATAAAACTAACATTAGAAATGCACAACTATTGACTTTAACAAGAATTGAAACTAAGAATCTCAGTCTTCACGGTAAATAAATTAAATTCGGTTCCGTAATTTGAAATATAGAGGTTCTCATTTCTGTAGTCAGGTTTTAGTCAATTTATACTGAGATAATGGTAGCTAACAGTGAAACTTTTATTAAAAGTGATTTTATATTATTTGTGTTCATAATATCCGTTAGGATAATACTTGATTAATACATTATAAAAAAATAAGACAGTGAATATGATGTAGGATGTGTACTATAGAACTGAGTAGAGAACAATAATTTTGTTTGTACAATTAAAATAAATAAAATCATTATAAGCAGAGACGGATAGTGGCTAGCAGTGGAATTCGGGAAGTGTGTTACGTCTTATTTGGGACTCGTCAGCTGGATGTACCTGTATCCCAGAGTTGGTGTTCACTCCGTTACTCGAACTAAATAACGTTCTTTTCAAACGACATCACGTTATACACTTAACAACTGAGTTCAGTAGACACTAGGTTGGACGAAACACGCGTCTTGGATCCCACTGCTAGCTACTATACATCTCTGCCTAGAATGCCTGTGATCTAAAACCGTATCTAGGCAAACCTCACAGGGTCCACATCTGCCAAACAGCGAGTGATCAACTGCAGTCCTAAACATCAACGGGAAAATCCAAACGCTGAATACAAAAATGAATTTGTACTCAGCTGGGTTTTTTTCCAAAAATGTGGAGAATATCTAAATTAAACAACCAAATCATTGTATTGTCAGTCGGCAGATAACAGAGTAAAACAAGATCAGAAAAACAAATTAATGTGCCATTTAGTCACAAAATACAATCATTTCGGGAGTTTGAACTTTTTATTAACATATGAAAAAAGTCACTCTCTGAACTGAACTAGATAAGACATATAATTATTTAGAAAATAAAATTGTTAAACGTTAATGGATAGTTTATGATTTGGAAGAAGTTAAAGAATGAATGCATTTCTAAATCAATTTCATCATTTAAGATCTTCAGTTTTCGGAAAAGCTTTGTGGTGCAATACAAATCACATAAACAGTCAGTAGTTTCTTGTGTTATTATCTTGTCTTGGTTTTTTCATACTTTTATTTTTCTTATTTCATGATATTTTATGTAGGGACAAAATTTGTCTAGCTAAACACTGAAATGATTTGAATAATTTTCTCTGGTTAGCGTTTTTTAGCGAGTTATTTTTCTACGAGATGTAGTCGCTCACCCCATGCCCAACCCTCCTCCTATAACCGGGCTTGGGACAGGCAGTAACTCTAGAAGATCTACAGGCGGAGTGTAGATAGGAGAACGTTATGGAAACTTCTCCGACACCATGGAGTTCTTGAGAAGACTGTCAACATTATCCGTAACTAATACGACGGACTACAGTGCAAGGTCGTGTATGGAGGACAGATGACAGATGCATTCCGAGTAAGAACCGGAGTCAGACAAGGCTGTCTACTCCCTCCCTTCCTCTTTCTTCTGGTGTTCGACTGGATTATCAAGACTTCGACATCTGAGGGAAAACACAGCATACAATGGACAGCTCAAAACCAATTAGACGATTTGGACTTCGCAGATGACCTAACCCTCCTATCGCATACACACAAACAAACACAGATAAAGACAGTCAATGTAGCAGCAGTTTCTGCATCAGTAGGCCTCAGCATACACAGGGGGAAAACCAAGGTCCTCAAATACAACACGGAGAACAGCAATCCAATCACTCTTGATGGCGAAACTCTGGAAGATCTAGGATCCTTCACACACCTGGGAAGCATCATCGATAAACGAGGAGGATCAAAAGCAGACGTAAAGGTGAGGATTGGCAAAGCAAGGGCAGCATTCCTACAATTGAAGAACATATAGAACTCAAAACAACTTTCAACCAATATAAAAGTCAGAATATTCAATATGACTGTTAAGACAGTTCTACTGTACGGAGCTGAAACTTCGAGAACTAATATAACCATCATCAAGAAGGTACAAGTATTTATAAATGGTTATCTAAGCAAGATACTTAACATCCATTGGCCGGATAGCATCAGCAACAGCCTTCTCTGGGAGAGAACAATCCAGCTCCCAACTGAAGAGGAAATTAGGGAAAGACGATGGAAATGGATAGGACATACACTACACGAATCATCAAACAGCATCACGAGGCAAGCCCTAACTTGTAATCCTGAAGGGAATCGGAAAAGAGGAAGGTCAAAGAACACATTACGTTGGGAAATAGAATCAGATATGAAAAGGATGAATAACAACCGGAAAGGATCGCCCGGACAGGGTTGGATAGAGAATGCTGGTGAGCGGCCTATGCTTCTTCACGAGGAGTAACAGGCTGAGAGTCTTTCTAACTTTGCAGGTGTTAATTTATACTTTTTTGACTAGAACAACTTGTTTAACACCATTACTACTTATTTGGTGGCTATATTATACTCTAAAGGTACAGATCGGTGAGATTATCTGGAATATGTTATCAATCCTACTTAAATATCTGGCTAACTGAAAAAACATTGTGATTATATCAATTAAAGGTATAGGGGATTTCTTTTTGATAATTACTTATAGTTTTTATTTGGGCTATGTTATTGTTACAGGAATTGCATTAACGCTGGGTTCTTTAGTTCAATTTTTTTGGAGATATGTACCTGAACTATCTGGTCTTTTGTTGCTATGAATAAATCAATTAGCTCAAAATGTGTTTCAGATCAATCATTATCACACTCCGACTTAAATAAGTCAGCTATTACATTTGTTAGTGGGAATTATTTCCCATTATGTTTTCAACTGACATCTTTTTATCGAAAATTTATTCAGAAAAATTCCATTTCAAAGTATTAAAAATTAATATGTCGTAGTAGGATTCGAGATAGTTCTTTAGAAATGATGTCAATCTGTTTGGTTTGGTGTAAATTGATACACAAAAGCTGATTTTATTCTAAATTGTGAAATATCTTCTTGTTCAGCATATCACTTTCTTAATACTGTTGATTGATTACTAGTTAGTGACCAATGTTCTGCTTCATCAATCTTTTAATGCAGCTGATCACCTCGATGACTTTACATAATATCCGATATGTTAAGGTGTTTGGTAGTTGAAGTTAACCGTGATTTCTTGTCCATCACTTCCTTATGTATAAGCTCTTTAAACGTTTATTTGTACATTATCTCTTGTCCATGAATTCACTGAGTTCGTTATTATGAAGAATAAGAAACATTTCATGAACTTCAGATAAGTTACAGAAGATATTTGAAATTTGGTTAGAATATTCATAATAATGATGGTGCTAGTAATCAGAATCAAGGTCATGATTAAATAACAAATGTATTTAAGGACAAAAGTAAAATGAAATGAAAAAACGTTTTCTAATTTTCATTTTTCCTCAAATTCGCCAATTTATTTTCTTAACCTTGACTTAATTTTGATTGATAGGAACAAATTTAATAACATAAGAGTATAAAAACACATGTAAAAATGTACAGATAGATTTTCGGTTGGTTTGTCGATTATTTCCAAAACATTAAGTTATTAAAAAATCAGTGGAATAATACAATATGTGAGATGAGTAGTCATAAATACTAAATCTGGTATTCATTTTGTTCAATCAGATGTTATTAACATGTTTAGTTAGTACAGAATTAAATATAATCAGACCAGGTTTGTAATTACATCATATTTAAACTTAAACATTACAAAGAAACGAATACAAATATGTCTATACATGGTATTTTTCATTATCCACAATAAAAATGACCGTTAGTTAAGTTAAAAGTGTTAGTCTAATAATTAATATTGGAGCATGTCAATATTAAATAACATACTGAGTCCTATCAGTTGAGATACAATCTATTAGTCTATAATACCTGCATTTTGGGAACAGAAAGTCTTCTCATATACATAGCTCTTGGATATTAGCGCTTAAAATAGATTTTGGTAATTAAAAATAGGGACTCCATGAGATAACATATGTCATTGCTTCTTTATTTCAGTAAAATGAAATTCTAGATTTTGATAAATATATAAAGACTTTTAGTTACTAGTTATTTTTATTTTCACTTGGTGGGTATGATGATTGACGTTTATTGGAGATAATATTTTATTTCGTTCCTTTCAGCCTGTACTTTTTTAATGAACTCTAATGCTTCATATATTGATATTTTAATATTTTAACGATCATTTTTGGACATGAATCGGATGTTTTATTTCTTTACAGTTATATTTATTTTTTATTGAAGTAGACATTTTTTTAAAATATCATAGATAGACTTCCTAGCTTAGTGGTTTACATACTTACATTTAAAGATAAAAATGTATGTTCAGTTTAAGGATCAAAATCTACGTTCCTTTTTGAATTGGTTTACTGAATTGATTAACACTATCGATTTACTTCACAACACACAATTTCCAATAAGTGTAACTAATGACAAACGTTTAGTTCATAGTATACCCAGTTCTAATAAACTAGATATTTTTCTATCCTCAAGAAATTCTTACTGATTTTTTCAAAATGTTTTTAATGTTCATTAAGAACTATCAAAACCTATGGCTTACAACATATTTGATTCATGAATTTTCTAGTTCACTGTCAAAATAATATAAATAACTTTTTTATACAATACTATTCTGAGCAAAGACGAATGGTGGCTAGAAAGGGAATCCAAGATAGGCGTTTCATCCTATTTGGGAATCATCAGCTGGATGTACCTGCATTCCAGAGTCGATGTTCACTCCGGGACTCAAGTACACAATATCAAGTGAATTTAAAACAATTCTGGATTTTAATATTCCTATTATTAGATTAGTAATTATTGAAAATGTCAACGCAATTTAGTTTTTAATCTGCAACACTTTTTTTTCTTTCCTAATCCATCTTTCAACTTATTGTTTCTTTCATTAAGACAAAAAAACTAATTTCGGAAATATTTAGCATAGTCAGAAATAGATTATGATTTGTAGATAGGTATTTGACATGCCATACATAATGTGACAATATTTAAAATATTATACTGACAATAGATCAGATACAGGATTGAAATACATATATATAAGTATAATATAAAAATTTATTAACCTAATATGTACAGCTTGTTTGGCGTATTGCAGTGCCATAAAAGTCAATTAACTATGTGACTGTTTCATTATCTATCAAATTACTAGTCAGTTAACTAGTTTAAAAGTGTAAAAATATGTCATAACTAACAAAAGAGACCAAATGATGTGTTAGTGAAGCTCATCTCTAAGTCAATGATTAGTCGTTTATTTAAAAGAGGAGTGAAAAATATTTTATGGAATCTGAAGATAATATCTGTGATGACCAAGTATATTGCAAGCAAATTAGTTTTTCGACAACTGACAATATAATCTGAATTTTACAATTAAATACTTCGAAACATTTTTTAGATCATTAGCGTAGATTATTAATTATGTTTTTCAATTATTATGGAAAACCGTATCAAACGTTATTGTTTTTTTTTCAAACAGCATTCCACAGATTTGACTAATTTACCAAGAGATATTTTCAGTAGTTAATATTCAGTTGTTTAATAAAAAATAACGAAATGATAGTCAATATTTTAACATTTGTAAAAATAGGTTTAATAAATACCTATAATTCTTATAAATACCTAAAATGAGACAGATATGCCTCAATTCATCAGATGATAGCCATACACAGTTGTGAATTAACTGGAGTTAGAAGTATAACTCAACATATTTTAAACGGCTGGTATTAAAGTAAAGAGTTCGTCACACACACGTTAGCATGAAGATGATGCATCTTAAATGATATGAAAATATAGGATCCTATTCGCAGGCACTGTCAATTTACAAATGTAGATAATATCATGAGATCAGTTAAGGAAGGTAAGGCTTTATACTTCCAGAAACTGATCATTTCAGTTATTAGTATCAACAACAGTTAAAATCAAAATCCTTTCAACAAAGGAGGATATATATGTTTAGTTTTCTATAATTTCTCTTAATACGACTTAGTCGCTCTTGTTGTTTAGCATTGTTTGACAATACTTCATTCGACAAGTCCTCAAATCAAAACAAGGTTGAATAGGAACGTAATTGTGTTCCTGATAATTGAGGTTGAATGGAAGTATATATCAAAAATGAGAGAAACTTTAGTAAATTAATGCTTTTACAGTTTTCTTCAAGTATCCGCTGGCGCCGACAAACTACAAAATGGGCAGTCAGCATGCCCCAACACAATCCTGCATGGAACATGCTTTAAACTAATCTATATCCAGCTAACACCAGTTGTTATAACGAACCAGCCATTCACTATGCCTAACTAAACAATCCTACTTCATGTGAAAAAAATGTCCATTAATTAACAGTGTGAAAAAATTATTTAAGTAGATCATCACTTTCAGCATCTCCGTTAACTCTACTCATTCATAGAATTCAAAACAAAAATAAGTAGTATTTAATTTTAATTTTTTTTCAAATAAAAAACTGTCGTTCAGAAATTTGTCCTTTCAACTCTTATTCTCTAATACTACAGATTGAACAGCAACTTATGCTTATCAGTTGAATCAGTTAGAAAGAAAAAAAACTAATAAATCACACGACTCACTGCTTTCTATCATTGGTTTTCATCATATCTCTTTCTTTTGAATTGTCTATTTCATTAGACAAGACCAATATGTGTTTGTTAAAATTAGTGATCATATTCATTGAACAGGGATTAATACACTTCAAGTATCCTCCCCTTTGTTTTATAAAATTCCTGTCGGTTGTCTGTATATACTGCTCACAACCATTTTGTTATTGGGATAAGATTTTTTACTGAGAACATAATGATCATTTCTGTTTTCTATCTAATTGTTATTGGTTTTCCTATGACTGAGTAACACTACTGTTATGTTTTTTTCCAGTATATCTATTCTTTGTACTAGACAGAAAATAAAACATTGATTTAAAGTTTTAAAAATTTATTAGTTTCTTACTTTGTTTTCATTGAATGGTTGACGCCCATCATCCTGTTCAGGTTTGTAGCTTCTTTCGCGTTTAAATGTGAAAGTAAAAGTCTAGGCAAAGAAATACGATTATGGATACTTATCTTTTAGCGTTTTCCGTGAATGAAAAATATAAGAGAAAAGTAATGAGAAATATTGTTTAGAAAAAAATCCAAACCGGAAATCATTATTAACAATATTAAAAAATACCCAATATAAACCTAGTGATCTCTATTCAATAATTATAACAAGGGTTGACATATAAACGTAGTTGAACAGCAAATAAACAATACTGCATTCTGTTAATACATTTATCATTTTAGTTATACATAGAAAAGCTTTTAAGGGAAAAATGTAATTTCTTTTAAAATGCTGAATTTGATGTCATCCATTATTCATTTTAACATAATTTTCAATTTCAATGGAAATATTGAGAGCATGGTTTTAGATGGCTGAATTTGATCTATATCACTGATGTTACTGTTCAGTAATCATATCTCAATTTGAATAGCCATCAGTAAGAACTAGACAACATGATATTTAGTAGTATTTATTGACCTATTAGTGAGACTATTTTAGTCCTGAGTATCAGTCGTGATTTGAATATCTCAATAGTAGTATTTATGACTCTGGAGTTGATTGAACTGTGTTAGAATCTCTGATAAAACATCACCTCTTATGTGAGTTCAGATGAATGCCATCCAATCGGAAACGTAGATTCAAGGTTTCCTGTAGATTGGCTGAGACTTAGTTCAGTTATCTGCTTCAACGCACGGTTATATTCAAACTAAAATGAAATATTAATCATTGGGACTGAAGTTTCAATATGGAAAATATGTTTCTTCTTGAAATTTTACCGGTCAATGTTTTGTGTACATTTCATGAAGTTTTTAGATTTTATTTTTGGTTCTCTAAAATATCTGTCATAAAACAATTTCACATTGAAGTAGTGAAATTTTGGTTGACTACATTTATATTTAACACAAAATGTTATTTAACACACTTCTGAGATAAATTTTCATCAGGACTTCCAAAATCAATTTAATTCAAGTGTGAGCCTTTTCATTTTTTTAATGGTGGATGACATATTAAGATGCTATTTAATGTAAGTGTTTTTCTTTTTGAACTTACTGATTTGTACGGTTAGTTTCATCTTTGAGCATGTTACTTCTTTTTTTGTTTATATTCCATAAAGTTTCATGATGAAACAAATTTTGTTCACATTTTTGACATTTTGCTTAAGATGATATGGTTTATTGTATTTTAATAGTCATATGTACTTATGAATTGTATTTCGAAAAATTTTTTTTAATAGGACAATAATCTTGTACGACATTTGGATGCATGTGAAACAATGGGTAATGCAACAGCTATCTGTTCTGACAAAACAGGCACTTTAACAACAAATCGTATGACGGTTGTTCAATGTTATTTTGGTGAGAAATTAACCCAAAACACTGACCAATTACCAAAATTGAAAGATTTAAATCATAGAATTGGACACAGATTTGTGCATGGTGTCGCAATTAACAGTAGTTATACATCACGTGTGATTGTAAGGGATTTTTCAGTTTAATAATATGATTGTTTTTAATGAGAATATTAAATGATAAATTATTTTTCCAAAAAAATATCAGAATTTCTGTGGGAAAAAAGGTTTTGGAATAAAGCAATTCAGCATTGAGTTGCTTTAAATTTAATTTTTGCAATCACTTCCATCAGCAACTGACAGAGTAAATCAGAATGGGGATTTGTGGAGATTGTTGTAATATTAGCAGCTAAATTCATAACTAAATCTAAGCTAGACCGCGTGTGAGATAGTGATTATAAACTGCTGTGTAGACTTATACTAGGACGAAATTAATGTCCAGTGCTTTACGGTCTTCAATGATGGTCTAACCTAGATCGATTTACGAATTCAACTGTTAAGATAATATTGTGGTGTATGCTACTTATATCGACAGATATATCACCAGTATCACCAGTCGAAAGTGAAATGCCTGGAGGTCGGAGTTTAAAAAAACTGAAGAGAAGAGAACGAGAACAGAGAATGATTGGTGTGCAAACTAAGGAACAGTCACATCTAAGACAAATAATGGGCATTTCGCAAATGGAGTATTTATTGTATAGTTCTCAAATTTTACTAAGAGATTCTGTAATTTTGTGTTGAAATACATTTGGTTGTCCCCATTAGTGTTTTCGTTCACTACAGTATATAAAAATTATGCTTATGTTAAGCACCATAATTATGGATCTATGTATGAAATTGGTTAGCGATTACTCCAGATACGAGAGAGTATCAAAAAACGACCTAACAATGTATGTTCTCGAAAGTTTTCATCATTCAGTCAATGGAGAAACATCGCAAGATAGTGACCAACTAATTTATTGTAAATACACAAAAAGAAAATCCTTTTATTTGCAATTGGTTATCTAAGTCAATCAAATACCAATAACGAAACTACTTTGTAGTAGTAAACAAGAGTTGGTCGGAATTAGTACACGATAAATTCATCAATAATTCTGTCTCATTAAGTGAAATTCATTTTTACTTGAAAAAAAAGTTTTTTTTCTGAACAAAAAGAAAGTTTCCTAATATATTTTCTGTTTTTTTCAAAATACTCGTATTACTGTTTTAGATTCCAGAAAAACCAGGTGAATTACCACAACAACTGGGAAATAAAACCGAATGTGCTTTGCTTGGATTTGTACGCCATTTAGGCGTAAATTATGAGGACATACGAGAACGGTGGCCACAAGAAAGTTTAGTGAAAGTATTCACATTTAATTCTTTACGAAAGTCAATGAGTACAGTGATTAAAAACTTGGAACCTGATAGGCCAGGTTATACTGTTTTCACTAAAGGTGCTTCCGAAATGGTTTTAAAAAAGTAAGCTATGAAATCAGGCACATTTTTTAACTGGATAATTACTATTTGATTATTTATAAATTTTTTTTAATATCTAAAAGAATGTGACTTTATAGATGGTTTTATTTTTGTGATTATAATCCGTGAGATGTCTTACTAATCCTTCATTATACAAACTTATAACTTTAATATCGAACGGTAATTATTAGAATTTGTTAGACAACACTGATTAAGCATTCACTGAAAGAAGTAAAGTTTCTGATTTCGCTTTTTTATAAGAGCGAATCAATGGTCAAAGGTTTAAAATAGTATCATCTGTTGTGGTCAATTTGTAACGAGCGTCATTAACAAGATAATTTGATAGTAGTTAATTGCATTTTAAAACCACAATAAACTGGGGTATTTGTTGTATGTATGCCAAAATTATTTTGCCTATTTAAAATAATAGTAATCCTGAAGTTGATTTGAATGCTTATTCTCCCATTAAAATTTCAGATGTAGTTTCATCCTGGATGCTAATGGTGAACCTAAACCATTTAGTAAATCTCATCAAGATAATTTAGTTCGAGATGTAATTGAACAAATGGCTGGTGATGGACTACGTACCATAGGTATTGCATACAAAAGTTATATAGATCCTAGTAAGTTATATTTTATTAGTCTTTTTTCTTTAAGAGTTCGATTTCTAAATGATTTTATTCCATTTGATATAATGTTTATTTGTAACCAGAATTATTGAAAAGGGTGTCTAAAGCTATTTAAAAATTAACCATGTATATTATTTATGCTTTGTGAGGTAAAACGTTGTCCATCTTTCATTTACTCTGGTACTAAGACATTTCTTTATAATATTACATTGGACATATTCGGGATAGGTATTCATTGTAAATTTGTAAATGTTATAGATAATAGAGTAATAAGGACAAAAATACTAAATCATGTCTAGGTTGACTTGCATTTGCTATCATTTTTAAAGTGCTTCCAGGTTTTCCGTAGTGGTCTAGCTTTAAATGATCCATGAATTCAACTATTAAATTTTAAAGCTTATTAACAAATATGTAGACATAGCTGTACAACAGAATCGAATAAGAAAGGTGTATGAAAGTGTGTAAAAGTCAAAATTATTGTCAAGGATGAATACTTATGGGCGAAATGATTTTACAGAAGCTTTCATCTTAATTACTGAGTATTCGCATGCAATCACAGTGATTTGAGAAATTAGTGAGTTATAAGCGACGTAGGATTTGTCACAACTCATATCAGGACAGTTACATGGGTTTATCAGGTCTGTGAAAACGAAGTCAAACTGAAGTGGGAAATTAATTGTCGGCCATTTGGTTAGAAAATGAGAACTGAATTTCAGTGCGAGAAATATGAAATAACTGTTAACTAAGTATTCCAAAGCGAGATAATATACATGTAAAATTTATAGTCTCTCATCAACATCCAGTTACTTTACGAAGTGGTGACGTGTACTATTTTGGTAGCTCTTGTTCTTTGTTAAATTACACTTCATACCACATGGTATTGAACTTCAGGGTAGATATTGATTAAACATACAAAACGTATTTACCACCCACCTTAGTTAACGAAGTTTATTTTTCTACCTAATACCGTACGCCATGTTTCCTTGTTATCTCTTTGGTTGTCATTTTTTTAAAAACAACTTTTATAAAATAATTGCTCTTTGCAGAAAACCTGGGCACTCAGCAATAGTTTTTTCGTCATAAGATTGTGGACTGTATTTATGCTTTTTGATTCATTGATAGACATCTTAAAAATGTTATGCATAGTTTAGGATGAAAAATGCAAAAAAACTTTCAGTCCAACCTGTTGTTTGAAACTGATGTTAGTGGAGCAAGTATTGAACCATTTGTTCCAATTACTCTTTTTAAAAGCTTGGATAAATTTCTGAAACTTCCGTTTATTTTAAAACGATTTACGTTATAGACCAAATTTTGGTGAGAAAGTAATGAAGAGTTGTTACCTCTCAGTAAAGAACTTCTCAGTATTGCAAATTCTCAATCTCGCAAGGAATCAAACCGTAAGCTTCATATTGAGCACTCTGACTTGAAGTCGTATTGAAGGATTGATATTTCCAAATGTATTAAATTTATTATATTGTTCGACTGGGATTCACTACCAGTTGTAATAACTATCTTACTCTGTACATCACTGAACCTCATAACCATGATGTAAAAGATTCACACCAATCACTCGTCCAAATGATTTTCAGATAACAAATTATCACCGAACTTGAATAGAATAACAATTTATAAAAATTTATAGGCCATTGAATAATTTTCAACAAACTCTGTGATAATGGTTGATTGATTAAAAATAAAACTACTATTCAGTTTATTTCATTCACATAATGTAGTTACTTGATTTGAATGCCGACTTCATAAGTGACAAAAATAATAACTTAATATTTTAAATGGCTTATTTCTTAAGTTTTAGAAAATTTTGTAAAACATATTTGATTTCTTTTTTTCAAACAGATGAGATTAAAACGCAGACAACAAACATAATTACAATCGAATAATATAGAACTGTGTAAAGTATCTTTAAATAGGTTAAGGATATAATTATAGTTCGGCTTAATTTAATGAGACAATGTTTTTTTTTTTATAAAATGAAGTCTCGATCTACAGACAATCATCATTAAATTTTATTAATTTTGTTAATGAATTGTTGTAAACTCAGAGAAAAAGATTGAGAATTATAATGAGCGGAATATGTTCATCGAAAAAAAATTGATACACTTATTAAATACACTTTGTACATCATTTTAGCTGGATAAATTAACAGACATTCTTTCTTTTATCATTTGTCAATTTGGACGATTGAAAAAGATACAGTTTTTTATAAACTGCTATAAGCATTGTGTGCTTAGTGTCATGTAAATCGTGTTTCATTAACTTTAGCAACGTGCGAATATGAACTACATACAAATGATGCTGTTATATCTTATGACCTTTGTGCTCTGTTAATATATCAGGCGATACGAGTCACAGACTTATTGATCAGACCAAAGATAAATAAACCATTACGAGCAGCCTAGAGTTCTTATTGGTCCTTGAGATAGCAGTTTTTCGTCTAACCCAGCCGATTCAGTCCAGGACGCAAATATTAGCCTCCATTATATCGAATCATATATTTTAGAACACACTTGGTTTGCATACAAGTAAATTCAGACCACATTACACCATAAAATATAAAATAACTATAGTGCAAGATCAAGCCGAACGTTGTTGTGATTGTGAGAAATGTGACTAATAGATTAAGAATAAGTTGAGAATAGAAAGACATATAACAATAAGCAAAAGATCAAATAAAAGCTTATAATAAGAGAAATACAAAGATATATGGTTTAGTTTCTTACCAGGTAAACGATAAGAATATATGTACAATATCAATCCATAGATAATTCTCAGACGTTACCCATAATTTAATCTTCTCTAGAATATAACAGATACATATGTAGTCTTATAATAACAATGTTGCATGGTTTGTTTCAATCGATGGCTAAGAAAAATATGTGCATATCGTGTTTTATTGAATTAAACAAGTGTAAAATAAAACTGAATAACTAATATTGACAGCTTGATATCATATCATATTCTGAATTCATAATTGAAAATGTCTAAACTTATCGTCTTATATGTATCGTAGCAATATGAAACAAAATATCATAGATTAATTTTTTCCTATAAATATTGGAGTTTTTTCTCTTTTGAACATAATGAATTGGATGAAATCTTCAATGGTTCACTAGCTTATGTATCTATATCAATCAAATTTTTTGAATGATAAAACCGAAGTTGAAAACCTATCTGTACTATAAGATAAGAAAACAAATTCTATTTTCAACAATAGTCTTCTAATCTTTTTTAATCAACGAATAATGATTCTTGATGACAGAAATAGAAGATTACTATTCATGTAATATTTGATTATATAGGATAAATTAATACAAAAAATTATGTTAAATACTTCTTTTAAAAATTTTCAAGTATTGACATGGATTGTTTTATTCTTTATTTTTATAAAAGCTGTTGGGCTATTTTCAAATGAGGTTCCTCTAAATCGTGGACAGACACCTGATTTTGATGATGAAGATACTATCGTCTCTGATTTAACATGTATTGGAATAGTCGGAATTGAAGATCCTGTACGACCAGAGGTTCCTGCAGCTATAAGAAAGTGTCAACGCGCTGGGATCACTGTACGTATGGTAACCGGTGATAATGTCAACACAGCGAGATCGATAGCTGCTAAGTGTGGCATTCTTAAACCAGGTGATAACTATATTGTGTTAGAAGGAAAAGAATTCAATGCTCGTGTACGTGATCCACGTACAAATCGTGTTAGACAAGATTTAATGGATCAAGTATGGCCACAGTTAAGGGTTCTTGCACGTTCTTCACCACAGGATAAATATACTTTAGTAAGTGGGATTATAGACAGTCATATTTCAACTCGTCGTGAAGTTGTTGCTGTAACTGGAGATGGCACAAATGATGGACCTGCATTGAAAAAGGCTGATGTTGGTTTCGCTATGGGTATAGCAGGAACAGATGTTGCAAAAGAAGCTTCAGATATTATATTAACAGATGATAACTTTACAAGTATCGTTAAAGCTGTTATGTGGGGAAGAAATGTATATGATTCTATTTCAAAGTTTCTTCAATTTCAACTAACTGTTAACATGGTTGCTATTATAGTTGCATTTGTTGGTGCGTGTCTAATAACTGTAAGTTAAAAAAGAAATATTTTTAGATATGAATTTAGATTTAATCTATGTTGTATCGGTAAAATATTGTTTTTATTCACTATTAAATTGGTATTTATTGGCAAGAAACATTCACTGAGATGTTTATATTTGATCATTAACAAAGATAATAAATAAACTATCAAAATTTCCTTTCAATAATTTCCAAAGAAAAAAAGCATAGTTCTAGTTGCCTTTAAATTATTGTATAAAAAGGTTACATCCATAATATGATCTAAGATGAAATTTAATTCCTTTGGCCTTATTTCAAGTAATTAATTAATAAGGTTACAGATGTAGAAAGAAAAAATGGAATCAAATATGGATACATAGTAAATTAAATTAGGAAATCATTCGATATTCAATATGAGAATGTAATTTTGGAAAGAAGAAGAAAAAAGAACACTTTGAACTCATATTCAATGATACTTTTGAAAAGAAAATTATTTAACTCTTAAAATATTGATATCTTGACAAATTAGTAGAATGTTTAAAATCAACATCAATGATGTATAATAAAGGAATATAATATATATTTAAGGTACATATTTATATGGAATAAACATAGTTGAAATGATAGTTTTGTTGTTGAGTTTCATTCGAAGAATTTATTTAAATTTTAACAAATTAAATGATAAAAAGTATAAATACAAGATACTATTTAAGTGAAGCCTATTTAAGAGATATAATCTTAAATTGTAATGCGCAGTTTACTCAAAGAATTTTATTTTTTTAAATAATGTCCTGAAATGTCGAAATAATGTATTACCATTTACTAAGAAAAAAATAACTTCAACGTTACCAATGTCGTTCTTAGTTTAATAGTTTAATTCATGAGTCGATGTTAGCAAGACCACCATTGAAAACGTGGAAGTACTGGACGACCATTTTGTCCTAGTATGGAACTCCTCAGCGGTGCACATCCACACGCCATACTCGAAACAAAGACCTTCAGTTTAGCGCTCGAACTCGAACTGGGTTAGGACCTAAAGGTGTTAATGTCTAACATCAACCGATCCATGATCTTGCTCAACCATCCATCCATTGTCTGAAGTAAATACTTGTCTCTACCTGACACAGATTATACTCCACTGGTTACAGCCCTTTGTCTGAGGTATAAACCTGAATTCAACTATTAAAATCACTACAATCCCCACAAACCCCCATTCTAATAATATTGTTTTAACTAAATATTTGGATATTTTATATTATCCTCTGTAGTATATTGAGCAATATTTGATTAACCTAAAGAGATGTAAGTTACTCTTTGTTATTAGTTAGCTTGAGCTAGTCACTTAATTTTAGTGTGATGTAGAAGTATAAGTGGTATCACAAGATGAAATCTTATGAAGCATGGAGTTTATTACAATATCTTGAAGATTTTGAATCATAAATACAGAATTCAGTGTAGAAAAAAGTAAAATGTATAATAGAACTATATATCCAATTCTTTAAGCATAAAAAACAAGATTTTAAAATTCCATACATTATGATTATTTTCATGTTAATTGCATAAGATAAAAGGAGATAAACAGTTAAAACTATTGTACAGTGAATAACAGTACTAACTTTGGAATAATTAGAAAAATTTAATTGTTGCGCAGAAGATACTACATTTTAAAAATTTCATGTCAACCTAACAAATCATAAAACATAGTAAACAAAATATTTTTCATCAAAAAAAGAAAACATAAATTATCCGTTTTGCGAAGAAATAAAAAGAACTATGTAATCAAGAAAGAAGAAATGAATTCCATCATTAAAATATGTTTGTCAGGCCTGTCATCAACATTTATAACATCCTAAATATTAAGAGGTGTAAGTATCAAGGTCGTATAAAAGCTGCTTAAAGCTTCCAGTCAAATTATCGAAATTATTTAAAATCGGAGTAGTCCATGAACACATAGAATCGTCACATTATCTATTCTGTGAATTAAAAGATCGTTTAAAATGAAAATGGTTATTATTGTAAAGTTAGCTATAACAGTCGGTGTGGTGTGTGCTACTGATGTCGACAGATATAAGCAGTATGTATCACCAACCGAAAGTGGAATACCTGAAGGCCGGAGGTTAAGAAAATCTAAGAGAATGATTGGTGTACAAACGAAGGAACAGTTAAATCTGAGATAATTGATTGACATTTTGCAAATAAAGAATTTGTTGTATGGTCCTCAGATTTTAATAAGAGATTCTGGTTGTCCCCACCAGTGTTCTCATTCACTATATCAGTACTGACGTTTTTTATTCGCATGATTAAGCATTGATAATTATTTTTCTTCATATCAGTATACTAAGATATTTCTAAAATGTAATTCAAATGTGAAAAATTGAAATCGTGAATATGCGAGACACAAAGCGGATCAATCATAGTTCAGAGGTTTGACATTTGACTCACTTTAAATCGTTAGATGTATCAACACAGTCTTCGTTTATTAACGAAACGGAAAAATGGTTGGCAACTATACACTTATAGAACACATTTTTTAAAATATCAGTACTAATATAATTAGTATTTCAACTCTATTAAATAGTAAATCGATAGGAAAAGTTGTAAGGCAATTGGAGAGAATCGATGATGAATATTCAACTTCCTGTTTGTCTGATGTAATTAAAAAATACTGGCGGACTTGAATATACCAATCAGAATCAAGATAAGTCCTCAAGTATGCTACGCGAAATTTAAAGTACAGTGATAGATAACTTGTATGTTATTAATAGCCAGATGAAAAGCGATAATAGTTGATTCTTTGAATACTCGGGATCAATAAAATGTCTATGATATAACCAAAATGTTGCTCTGAGATGGTGCTTAAACTAGATGAAAAAACGTACCTAGTAATAGTGTCTAAGTAGTTAGTTTGATTTAATGAGTAGTTAAGAGTGTTTAGTGAACTTAACTCTTTATAAAAATTCCAACCTTAAGTTTCTAAAGTCTGTAAACAGAAGGGTTGCTGAACATTTCATTAGGACAAATGTCAGTCTGGAATGAAAACTCCAACTCTAATTTGTGAACCCAACTCAAAACTCCAGCCTTTACTTTAAAGAATAGTTTGCAATATGATGGTTAATGGTTCAGATCAGATCTGTTATTCCACAGTTATTTTTTTGCTTTTGGTTGTTAATTGTTTTATTTAGCATTGCCTGATTGGTTGATAGCTTATCCAAGATTATCAGCATATTATACTCTTACTATTTGTGCCTATAATGTAGTTGAGAAAAATAAGAAAAACGTCTTCAATGAATATAAAACGATTAGAAGCTATATCTTCAGATACACATTTTTTTTTAAAATACATACTTCTGCTGTTTGATATGATATGCATACTTACAAAGAAGACTGGAAGAAATATTTGTGCAAGTTAAATAAACTTATTATATTTATCTGGAAACTATATTTTATGTTCATTTGAGAGTTTAATCAAACTAGTTTGTTATATGGTTTAAATAAATAATTATTTTTTATAATTACATTTTCATTGTCCATTAAACAGGATAGCCCACTTAAGGCTGTTCAAATGTTATGGGTCAATTTAATCATGGACACTTTGGCGTCATTAGCCTTGGCGACCGAAATACCAACAGAAGAGTTACTTGAACGAGCTCCATATGGTAGAACAAAGCCTATTATCAGTCGTAATATGATTAAAAATATCATCGGGCAGTCTATTTATCAACTAAGTGTTATTTTCTTTCTGATATGGTTCGGTATGTCAAGCACTTGCTTATTAACTATTGTTTAATTTTTGAAATTATATTTATTTTAAATCTGGTTACAATAACGACACATCAAAATAGTACTTTTTTCTGATCTATGAATTCGAGTATATTTTCGTCTGTTGCACTTATATTACTTAATAAATTTTGAGTAGATAAACATCGAGATGAAATAAAGCAATGAAGTTTCATTTTCTTTTCGAAAAATGTTGGTTTCATTTTATAAAACAGATTGTAATACCAAGTTATTGGATTAATAAACTATTGCGAATAAATAGATGCTTGTTGTTGGAGTACTTTGAAATTAACAACGTAAATTTTATTTGTAATGCAGATATTAATATTCGTCAAATGTGTTCTGTTTCCCATTGTTAAATTACTTTCTGAATAAGTTAATCTTTATCACATTTTAGAAAAAAAATTGCTGACGTACTCTCCCAATTTCATTTTCCGTTTCAAATGACTGCCTTTCAATTATTTAATGAGTCGCATCAATAGAGTTTTCCTTTTGCAGTACATGTGTTTGTGAATAGGGAAAATAAAATGATTTATTCAGTATTTCAGGACTCCAAACAAAATGTATCGTAACTTATGGTCAAGCCTCATATATATATAACGTTTCTTAGAATCTACTTCTTATCATAAATATTTGCATTTAGTAAATCATTTTAGGCTCATGACAATCAATCAACAAATAGATAAACAATAAGATATTGCTCGACCGTCCATCATTTTCTTCAGTGAGTAACTGCCTCATAACAGACACGTTTGAACTCCACTGGTCACGGCTTCTTACCAGAACTCCAGGAAACGCTGTTTTAACTGAGGTAGTTACTTACTGAAGACAATGGTGGACGGTCGCTCAATTTCATGGATTGGTTGAAGTGAGACATTACCAACATTGGATCGCGACTCAATGGCCTGGAGGTTAAGCGTTCGTGCGCGAAGCCGAAGGTCCTCGGTTTGAGTCCGGCGTGCGGTTTTGCAGATGAGCACTACCATGGAATCCCATGCTAGGATGAAAGGGCCGTCCACTGTTTCCAGGTTTCCAATGGTAGTCTAGCTTACATCGACTCATGAATTCAACCATTAAATTACTACAACCTCCACAAACCCCATTTAGATATGCGACATATTTACTTGACAAAGATTTGATTCTAGCTGCTTATGTAAATTTTCTTAGTACTCCATTAACTATACTTTGTTTGATATGACAATAATACGAGATAAGGTATAAATGGTCAATAATAATAAATTTAGTGTAGTTGTGTAATTTGGTCACTAATTGTGACTATGTCAGACGGGAAAGTCCTAATTTGTGATCTCATAAACAACCGAAGTTAATTCACCACATCAATTAAAAATTAATTTTCGTGTTACATTTACTTGTATTTTTTATTTTATGACCATTCTTTTATTTCTTGAAACTCTTAATATTTCTGTTATACGTGTGCTTTTTATTGTTACAATGTTTTCACCTATGTACTTTTCCTCTCAGGTGAATTACTGTTAGATGTTGAAAACGGTCGTGGTTTAAGTGCTAAAGGTATAAATCGTCCAACAGAACATTTTACTGTGATATTCAATTCATTTGTTATGATGACATTATTTAATGAAATTAATGCTAGAAAAATTCATGGACAGCGAAATATATTCTCTGGATTAACTAACAATTTATTATTTGTTATAATTTGGATTTCGACATTTATACTACAAGTAAGTTGATTCCTTTGGAGAATAAATATCAGAAAGAATGGTTTCCTTACTTGGTTGTTTACTAGGACACAGTTCTATTCTTACATTGTTACGATAATCATTTTTAAAACTGAATTTCACATACGTCATTTTAATGCTCATCTAAAAAAGTATAATCCTTCGTTGTTCACTATACATAATCGTCTGTCAGTGATGAATTATAATAAAGCTTGCAAGCTAGATATCTGTTTGGGGTGGTTTTTTACATAAAATCTTTAAGCAGCTTTAAGTGTATACGATCCCATTACCTCTAGATATAAAGGAATAGGTAGCTTTTTGTTTTTATACTGTTTATGTTTATTTGTACCAACCTTTTTCTCAGACTCATACTAGAGTCAGAAATATAAATACTTAACTAACCATACTGCTATTAAGCGTTCTAATGAAAGAAAAAAGAACGTATCAAATCAGGCAGATATGGAAAATATAACACGACGTGATTATCCATCAATTCAGTTAGCTTATTCATATAAGCTCAGCAAAGGTGTAGTGAACAAGAACACGAATGGAAACAATCGAACGTATTTGAGCACAAAATTACAGAGCACTTCACTAAAATCTGAGAACCATACAGTAAATCGTTAATTTGCAAAATATCAGTCCATCGTTTCAAACCTGACTGTTCCTGTTGCAAACATCAATCCATTTTCTCAGGTTTGATTGTTCATACATTTTCATTCTTAATTGCATTTCCTTCCCGTTCTTCCCTCATTGACCTTCTACTGAAATACATTTAATGCCTGGCCACCGTCATATACTACTTGTGTGGATATAAATAACCCACACTACAGGGAAATTCGATAAGACATATAGTAAATACGTAAAAATACCAGTGATATCTATGAGATATGTATGCCAAAACGTTAATAATTACGAAACATTTATCCTGAAAATCAACCATAAGCTAGCTATTTTTTTTAATGAGTCGTTGAGTTGGTCTCTACTCATTTAATAATACTTTTAAACAAAAAGAATTCAGTAATTCATTACTTCATAATAGCTTAAGTCATCAGTCATTGTGAAATAAATTTTTTATTGACATTTCTACTACTACAAAGTTAATGAAACCTATATTGCATCAAACAGTTTTCTAAAAGGGAATTCAAAATATCTTCAATTAGTCTATTGGTTCAAATATACCTGTTTAATTCATGTTGGAAAATTTAACAATGTTTATTACTAACTTCAAAACATAGTATACTGATAATGATTGGATGATGAAATGTTTTTAATATAAAATTGTACGTCAAACATATAAATTGGATGGATTATCAGGTTTTTCAATATGTTGATTTACAAACATTCTAAGCATCTATGAAGTAGACCAATTATTTGCCGAGTGAAATATTAAAGTGATGTTTTATTTTGTTTATGAACGTTTCAAATAGTTACTTGCACTAATCTCATTTCAGTCATATGTGATAACATTGGTAAAGAGATTTACAACTAAGTAATTTATTAGATTGTTCGTTAACATCGATAAATCTGTTGATACTGTAAACTGTTGTTGTTTAATTAATATCAACTACTGACTTATTCCCTGTACTCCAATTTGCCGATTGACCAGATAAGTAAATCGTATAAAACTCATTGTTATTTTGATACAAATTCTGAACCACTGATAAATTAGTGATGGGTTCATAGTTAACATATAAGTAGATCTTCATCTGCAGTCTTGTACTGTTTTTGATATTTAGTGATATCAGTCCTTGTTCAGTTATATAGAGGTAAGTAACTAGTTGTATCTTCAGGATATAATAAGTGGCTAAACCAGTAGTCAATCCAGATAGAAAATTAATCACTGGAACGAAGTATAACACTGTATTGTATTTAGGTGTTTATTCATTGAAATGCATAATGTGATAGACAATTCTATGTAAAAAAAAGTTTCCTTTTGATAGTAGGTATGTAAGGTTTAAAATGAAAATAAAGTTCCTTGTTTGCTAAGAGGTGTGTTTACGTTGAAAATAAATAAGAGACTATTAGAGAATTTCAGAATTTAATTAAAAACAATATTATCCTAAGGAATATGTTCATTAAACGATACTTATTACCTCTTTTCTACTCTACAATCTTAGTATGTATTCTTGAACTAAATAATCTTGGGAACATATAGTTCATGTTAGATCATTTTCTTTCACATTACCCTTAATATTTTAAATTATATTTCACCAGAAAATTTACATCCCACTGATAAGTATTTAAGTATATTCATATTATTAATCTTAGAAATCCAAATCACGTGTTAAGTTACATTGGTTTCAGAAAACATTCAATACACCATGAATATTCAGAATTGCTACTACTTTATCTCCAGAATACTATTGCTAATAAAGAATGTATCATATATGATTTCAGAAAAGACAAAAATGGGTAATGTCGAAAGCCAATTCAAAATAGATTCCTAACAGAGTTTCTGTCGATATGAGAAAGCTGACAGATATGTTTAGGCCAGAAAATGTGTTTGATTATTTTCTGACTATCGTAACCAATGGTTGGAGACTGTGAGTGGCATGGCTCAGAATCGATCACAATGGCATCGGTGTATACACTCTTTGTTTTCCATTAAACTATGAGATTAAAATTATTTCATATCTTTCTTCCGACGAACTAATTCTTCCTTTCTTTACTATATCTTTACATAAAATCTTTCTTTTATATATTACACCATTGAGTTAACTGCTTCTATGAATCCAGTGTTCGACTTGCTGTGCTAATGAAGTGTGGCAGCTTGGATTGATGCATGTTTATGTCTAGTCCTATGTTGTGAATGACTGACTGACTGAAATAATATAAAACAATCTCAATGTACTATTTACACTAACTTATTCTGTTTTTTTATTCAATGTATTGAAAATAAAAGAAACTTTTTTAATTTTCCTGTGATCATGAGCTTAATTGAAATAATATTCATTAAGAGTTTTACCTTTTTGCATACTTTTTTTTATCTTTCTAGGTTGTAATTATTCAGTTTGGTGGCTATGCATTTAGCACACGGCCATTAGCTTTAGAACATTGGTTATGGTGTTTATTTTTTGGAATAGGCACTCTACTCTGGGGTCAGGTTTGTTAAAAGTTTTCATTGATATTATTTTCATCATTATTATTATTTCGATAGTTGAGATCATGAGTCAATTGAAGCTAGACTACCATGGAAAACCTGGAGACACTGGACAACCGTTTCGTTCTAGTATGGAACTTCTCAGCAGTGCTAGTCCACAATCTCGCTCACGGGACTCGGACCAAAGACCTATCATTTCATTGTGGTCTAGCTTTAATTAACTCATGAATTCGACTTTTAAATTATTATAATATTCAAAAAACCCGTTTCTGATGTGAAAAGATATGAGAAATGATTCATTCCGTTTTATTTTTTTCACCATTCATTATTTCTAACTCAAGGTCATTATTTCAATACCAGTATGGATAATACCAAAGAGAAAACGTAGAATAGCCAAGTCAAGACGTTTGACATTAATTGCAACACAAGATGCATTGGGAATGGAAACAGACGGTCTAGTTACTCAAGATTTTGCACATCCACAACTTGCAGATGGTGGTGTGGTGCATAGAGCTAGTACAGGTTTTGTTAGTAAAGCGGCAAATGCGGTTGCTCGTGGTTTTGGTGCAATTTATACACAACCTGAAGGTGAGGAAGAAGAGGAAGAGGAAGAGGAAGATGAAGAAGAAGATGATGAAGATAGAGAGGATATAGTTGGTGCCAATCTACGTAATACTGGCCAAATATTATGGATTCGAGGCTTATCAAGATTACAAACACAGGTACGTTTTTTTAGTAAATAAGCTATATGATATAATATGTCATTAATTTAGTTAATCTTATGCATCTAATCAATTGACAAATATATGGGTTACTTCAAGCAGTCACATAATCATCAACACAACCTTGAGAAATCTCGGAGAACTGAAAATAGTAACAGTATCAGTAGGAGTATAAACCAACCTATATATAGAAAAAAAGTATGAGATTTTGGGACTTATGATCTAAAGGAAGACAAGGAGTTATGTTGTGTGTGATATCTTAAAATAATTCTGATAGCAAGTGTTAGAAACACAACTACTTCATTCAAGAAAAGCGAAGTGTTCGGTGGGTGACAGAAAATCATTCATGATCTTGCTTCAGATATCACAAGGACGTTGAACGTAATTTGTTTTGCGTTGGTAGATATAACTAATCTACATTTCCAGTAATAATTTGAATATCATTATTCGCATATTTTAAGATGCGTTATATACAAATTGAAATAAACACCTTTTATCTAATAAGCATGTGGTTTTGCTTTGAAATAAAACTTCATTCCGTAAGTCTACATTGTTATATTCCTCTTTTAACTTGAAAAAATTTCAAGCATTTTTCTTGAAGTAAATGATTTCATTATTTTCTGTAAAATTAAGGTATATGTAAATCTCTTCTAGTATAAGATTTCTACTGCATAGTGCAGAAATACTACAGAATATATGATTTCTCGTATATTAAACATTAAATTATTTAAATATTTTTCCAGATTCTGACACATTTCATCAATATCAAACTAGTTTATTTTGATACACTTCAGGTGATAGCTGACAATAATAACAAATACCACATACTTGGGCATATTTAATTTTTTTTAAATCAGTCTATAAATGTCTTGATGTTATTACTCAGAAATATAAAGACAACCCTCTATTTCATAGATTTAGATACTCTCTACCTAATTACAATTGTCATGACATCTAGTTTCGACATTTGTAAACGAAATATGCTAAAAATAAATAAATTTATAAATAAACATTTTTTATAAATAAATTTATAAATACCAAATAGGTGGTCAAATCATAGAGCAACCTAAAAGTACTAAATCCTTCTAAGTTAATATTAATGATAATAACGTTAGTGTTTACTGTGAATTACTTTGCTTGAAAACACTGAGTAGTAGAGGACGTTCGTTGACTACTACTTTGACTGTATGTGCGTATTTCTATGTATGAGATGAGACAAAGCAAGGCAATACTGTGTGTATATTCATGTTTGATTGTAACCAACTGCCCCTATTGCATGAGTTACGGTTTAATCTGAAAAGGAAATTGTTTGACAAATAATCATTTTTTTTAAAATCAATTGTAACGACGAAATAAAAATAAGCAGTTCATGTACACTCAACTACATAATTAAATGTTAACTTATGTAAGCCAGTTGAGTTGTTCAGTAATTTTCTATACTATGTATACTTGTTGTCGTATTCTGTTGTTAAATGCACGAATTTCAAACGAAACAAGGATCAGATTATGAAAACACTTTGTCTCCTTACTATTGTTTCTTTTTGTTGTTGTTTGTATTTCTTAAATGGTCATTGTACTTCAAATTTACTTGTCTAAACATGATCACTTCATTATCATAACATAAATAAAAATGATAAATTTTTGTAAACAACATAAAATGAATTACATTCTTCTTAATATTTTCTTATATTTTCATTTTGTTTATTTTTTTTGAAAACATCACTCTTACTAATGAATACATCATTACTATAATGATGATGATGATGACAAAATCATTTGCATAAAATAAATTGAATCTATGAAATTAAACTAATTAGTGTTGTTTCATATTCAATGTTAAATCGTTTCATATGTTGTCATATTTTATATTTAATGTCATTTGTTTTGTTTACATTCTAATCATTCGGATTAATTTCATACACACGATGATTAGTGCATCAATCTTTGTTCTTGCTCTTTTTAACATTTGGATTAAATTAACAAAAATGTTGAAAAAAAAAACACTTTTTTCTCATGCTTGGTTTGTATGGTGTACATATAACACATAATAATATAAGTGAATTTTGTGCAAAAAGGTATTGGTTGAGTAATTTAAAATTCTTATATCAAAATTATATGAAATTAACGAGAAAAAAAATGAAGAAAAACTAATCATCTACGCTGATATCATATAGCACACTGAATAGATTCATGGATAATCATTCTGAATTCATAACTGATACAGTCTTGTATGTATATTATAACTGTAATAGTAACACTATATGATTGAATTAAATCATTATAGTGTTAGGATGTGTACAGATATTTTTTTCAAATTAAAAAGTTCATTAGAATTATTTCATAGTTTCTGGAGAAAAATTTTTAAAAAAAATAATTCTCTTGAATCAAAACTTAAATGATTCGATTCATGGAATAAATTTAAATGACAGTTTTATTTGGTATCATTAATCTCTTATTTATTATCGAACATCTATCCTTTGTAATAATTTAATGTAGAGAAATATTTTAAAAAGTTGCCAATTAAATTGACTAATTTATTGATAATTGTTCAATAATAATTTTGTAGAATCACTTTTCTTAAAGTTTAAGATTAATTTCCATCATGAGTTAAGTTTGTCGTTCTCACAGGTTCTTCAGTTAATGTTACATGATAAAATCCTTTAAAGTGGTTGTTTCTTAACTCTATTATGATCGAATTGTTAATAGAGTAAACAAAATGTATACTTTGCTCATGTTCTGTCTACAAGTCCTGTCCAGAATAATGCGGATACAAAATGTTATCTACAAGTGTTTCAAATGTTTATATTACATAAATTCATTTCGTCAGACGAACGAAGGGATGAAAAACGGAGAAGCCAGATGGTCATGCTTAAAGTATTACTGATAACAGATATTAGTATAACTCAAAGCAGATAATGCATATTGCAACAAGGAGACTGACATTGGATAAAATAAGTGTACAGACACATACAACAACACATGAAACGTATAAGTGCAGAACCACAGTAACATGAAAATAAAAGTTATATGTACTGAAAGTCATAATTCCTTATGAATAGAATAATTATTACAAAGGTAAAAATGACTTAATAGTCACATTTCGAGCTATTCAATTCTATTCAGTAGTAGGAATTTGTGTACACAATAATGTATGTGTAATAATATAGAGAAACTGCTACATTCTTGCTATTCTGTAGATTTAATATAACCTCTATATTCATTTATACTTTGACATCAAAACAGCTTATGTTACCATTCTTTATTACATTGATTTTTTTTTATCATCTCATAAACTTTAGTTCCTAAGAAATAAAATGTTAAAACAATATAGACATAATCACATATGATTGTTAGAAAACACATATTAGTTTATTCACTCGTTAAGTTCTAGTAGTACTAATACTTACATTATATTTAAATAAAAATGTTTCACATCTCAACTAATAACCTAATTCACTATTCATTATATCTATTTGATACGTAAAAAAAAGGTGAATAATCTTTACTATGATTTTTTTTTCAGTTTTTTTTTACAATTTCATAATTAAAATTATTTAATAAATCTAAATCTGTTGAAATGGCATTGTAAAATTTAGTTAAGTTCATTAACTTGACAGTTGTTTTTTTTCTTTCTCCTGTCCTTTTCTTTCTTTCATTTGTAATATCCTATCCCTCTCCATATATATGGTTCGAATCGGACAATTCACGTAATCATCGTTTTTGAAAATAATAATAATTACAAAAAAAACATGGTTTAATCACATTTGGTATACCATTTATATATATATAATACAATTGATATATTTAATATCAATTTATATTATTATGTTTGATGTGTTTTTATTTTTATTTGTTTTTACAATCCAAACCCTGTACACCAATTCACCTTTGACCTGCATTTGAATGCCTTTTTATTTATCCTTTAAATAATACAATGAAAAAATATATATATTCCTTTCTTTTATTTTTGTTATTCTTTATCTTAATCCCTATGCTTCATTTCTTTTCTCTTAAATGTTCCATCAAACATTTATTTATCTTTTAATAATAATTTAATTAATATTTTTATTCATGATATGTTGAATCTTTTTGTTTGTTGAACTTATTTCTGTCTTGTAATAACCTTTGTTCATGAATGAATGAATCTATCTGTATATACATATATATCCTTGCTTCTTTTTTTATATGTTTGTATGCTTAACTGGTTTATTGATACTAACGGTTTTTTAAAATACATTAAATGTATAATATTGTTTTTTCCTGAATCCTTTTTGAATTTTCTCTCCCTTAAATTGGTTTTCCCCGCTGCATTTATCCCTGTGTTGTATGTAAACATTTCCCTTTTTTTGCCTGATTATAAAATTGAAAAAAAACATTATTTGAAAAAAAATAATTATTTGCATGTTCATCTATTCTGTATAATTAATCCTCAATAATTGTGAACATCCAATGTTTGATTGAATTATCCTGCACGTATCTATTCCCTTGGGTATTTGGTGTGATTGTTGATATTACACATACACTAACTTTATTTTATTCCCCGAAAATTAGTCTGCACGTAAACCTAATTTAGATAATCGTACAGATGAATGGATTGGAAGTGTTAGGCGCTTTACTTTAAGTCAGCTTAATACTGAAGGTATGACACATCCTTTAGTTTTAGCAGCTCGACGTCAAAGTACATCAGTTAATCGAGGTGGATCGATTAGTGCTTCTGGTAATCTTCGTCATACAACACCACAAGATGTTCCTGAAGAAGATGAAGAACATGAATATGATGAACGTTTAGATAAAAATTAACTTTTTGATCATTGTTGAGTGACATTCTTCTTTTGGGGTGATTTTCTTCTAAACAATTTAGATATTATACATATATATATGCATATACATAGACAAGAGTATTTATCATCCGGTTTTATACAACATACAACTATATAAATATACAAGTCTTTTTGCCAAATGTAGGTTGAAAATCAGATTGGACAATCAAATCTACTAAGTTATAGCTTAAGGAAACTTTAAAAATCCAACAATAAAAATGAAACGTGTTTTTCATTTTTTTTTAATAGTTAATATTGAATAGACTCAAATGATTTACATATATTCAACACAATTTTCTTACACATACTGTTTTTTTCATCTTGAACTTATGCATTTTTCAAGTACCGAAAAATACATTACACTGTCTTCACAACTGATTTTATCTTTGACTTTCCTAATCACTCACCAATTTTGATCTCAACATATAAAAATATACATATATATATCTTTAAATCATATGGATAAAAGGAACATATTTACATTTAATTTGTATCCGATTAGTTTAATCTTAACAAAACAAAATTATTGCTACTATATGTAATATTATAATTTATAATTACAATTATAACTATCAGCCCAATGATAGACTATAATTATTTTCCTTTTTTTCCTATCATTATTACATTTACCAACTACTACTACACTCTTGATATTATTCTTATAGTTACTGACATGATTATTTTTACTGCTACAATAAGTCTCTTTTCATTCAATTTTACTGTCCAGCATCGAATGTGACTGAATGAATACTTTTATCATCTCAAAATGAAAAATAGACGATATAGCATATAATCATTAATTATTCGATTCGTATCTTGGTAGTACTTTCTCATTTATTCTTCAAACAAAACACTTTGGGAAAGGTTTACTTCAAATGAATATATATATATATTCATTGAATCAATGTCGTAGTTCATGAATTGCATTTACATTAGAATATTATCATTCCTTTGTTTCCAGCATTTATTTCTGTTGATTGTTTGATTATAGTCTTTTGAAACGATGTAAAGATTAAAATATTATTAAAGTAGATTGATCACTCGCTCAAGTTGGTATGTAATGGACTTAATAAAAATAAATTACTCTTAATTCAGAGTTTATAGAGTTTTTTAATATGTTCTTTTAAAGAATAATTAATACTCTAAAAACCTACACATTGAGTATGAGAAGTATCGCCATACTCATAAGGTTATATATAATGAAGTAATATCAAGGTGTTATATGTTTGTATCTATACAAAGTTTACATTATCCAAAATATCATTCATTCACCTCTGAGGATAATATTTACCTATTCATGTTTTTTTCATTTAAAATATGGACTTTTGTCTATGTCACTATGAATGAATCTGTTTATTTTTCATCTTCCTAACTAAATCTTGATTTTCATTTTAATATTATGTTGCCTCATCTATCTATCTATCTATCTATCTATCTATCTATCTATCTATCTATCTATCTATATATATATATATATATATATATATATATATATATATATATATATATATATATATATAATCTTCTGATCTAGTATTTAATTCATATTTCGATAAATCTTTATTGCTCATATGGCTCAATACTTTCATAGGAAACTATTCACAATTCATGTATTCATTGATTTTTGTGTAGTTGATGTTGTGTAAAATCAGTTTACTTTCATCATCCTTACCATCATTGTAAGTGAACAACTTTCATATTTTAGTCTATGTGAGAAACATGTATAACAACTTATATAATGGTTTTTCATACAATTAAAACGATTAACTTTGATCAGTAACAAATGATAATAGAATGACGATTAATAAACTATAATCATATTCATTTCCCTAAATTATCTGATAATGGAATATTATTCTAAATAAAATATAAAAAGAAATAATAAATAAGTCATTTGTGATTATGATGTAATTATGTAATTATGTTAGTTCATTATTTACTAATTTGAAATTAATTGTCATTATACATTAGTCATTTATTATTTTTTATCAAAACATAGTTAGATTAAGCTAATCAGAATTGTTTTTATTTATTCAGTGTTAAAAACCGGTAAGCAACTTTGATCTGGTCATCAGAGGTTGAATTGAACAAAATAGTTACCTTTAGCTAAAAATAATATACACATGTAACTTTTGTTGATATTCGATGAACTCCAAGCATAACTCTTTCCATACAAACTGAGTTTTTTTTCTAGTTAAGATTAATTGTTATATTATTTCATGTCACTAAGTAATGTGTTGTTCTTAATATATTACAGCTTTTATTGACTTGTCAGTTGACCTCTACCACATGACAAAAAAGATGTCGCAATCATAAACTTGATAATTGATTTAAGAAGTATCCTCTTATTTTATTAATACGTAAATACTCAATGAATTTCCTATAAAGAAACATTTTTACTATCATCAATCAGCTGAACTATAAGTTATCGTCATAATTAGTTTCAAATGACTGATTCAGCAAGAAGAATGATTACGGTTGAAATATATCAGTGATAGTGTTCTTGATGTTAATGGTAATTAGACTACCTTTGAGCATTATGAAAGAAAAGTGTGAATTTTCCAGAGTTTGTAGAAATAACATGTTGATGACTGATATTCAATTCTAAATTAAATCAAATCAAGTGATTATTTCGAATAATCACATAACAAATGATTTATTAATGCTTTAAACATACACCTACAGAAACACTTGGGTAGTAGTACATTTATGAAATTTTCTTAAAACATAAAGAAAAACAAAAACGAACTCAGTTGTTATTTTACGACGGATATTTTGAAATCGAATACTTACTTATTTACAAGAAAGACCAACAAATAATTGATCAATAGTTTACAACATAAATCCATATGACTTCATTCTATAATTTTCTTTATTCTTTGGCCGTTTCAAATAGAATAAAATGCACATACTGGATTCTACTGCTAGCCACGTTCCATCTATCGTAAATAATTTATATATTACGAACCAAATATCATTACATTTTTATTTATGTAAACAATTAATAAAAACCAAATTCGTCACTACAGAACGAAAGTCTAAACATGTAAAAAAATTCACTTTCTATGTGTAACCATGATTATTTACATTTTGGACTTGAAGTTATTAGAATAGGGGTTTATGAAGATTGTAGTAATTTTAATAGTTGAATTCATGAGTCGAGTTCTCTTGTGTGGGATCGTAGTTGCACACTATTGAGGATTCCTATGCTGGGACGAAGCGGTCTTCCAGCTTTTCAATGGTGGTCTAGCTTACATCGACTCATGAAGTCAACTATTAAAAACTTGAAGATAATGGTCAAGGCGCTTAGTCAAAAAATGCCTAATGTGTCGAATGATATGTTACATATATTATATAAATTACTTGCTTTGACAGGGAATTTTTGATTTTGTTTTCATTCAATCAAATAATCATTATCTCAGTGTAAAATCTAATAGTACAAACTAAAGGAGAGAATAATATGTATCATTCTGATGCTTTGAATTTTTTTAATATTTAAACTATTTAATTTATAACTCACCGAATGTTTTACTCATTACAACTATGTTCATTTTGTTAAAGTCAATAAGCCTTACTTTAATCTCTGAAAAAAGTTGAATAGTGGATAATGGTGTAACACAGTATGTTTATTTCGTCCTATTCGAAACTCATCAACTGGATATATTTATATTCTAATGCTGATGCTCATATAATAACTTGAATCTAGTAACGTTCACTTTAAATAATAAACACATTCTCTGATTTTATTAAACTTAATTAGTATTTATCATAGTTAATTACAAAGAGATGCAATATTTAAATTTAATGATAGAAATGTAGGTTTAGTTATTAGTTAAACAAGTTTACAATTCAAGCCCTAATCTTCATCCAATAATATATATATATCCATTTGAAGAAAAATATCATCACATATACTTAGTGGAAAAAAAAACTTTTGGAAAGTAGGATGTATAAAATATGTTACACATCCTACCTGAACATTTAAGAACTTTTCTCTTGTTTTAGCTAAATACTAATGTTAATAAATCTGATGTCCATGAACAGTTGAATAGATAAGCAAACACTTTGATGATCAAATATTCCATGATACTTCACACTAGGTAATCTTTTAGAAAGATAACAAACAACTGTACTAAAGTTTAATTAATATATTACTGAAATTAACATTTATTTACAGATCATTCATCAAACAGATTAGTGAAATAGTTTACAGAGATTTATTTGATAATTTTATTATAAGCTATTCATGAATAACTTGTTAACATTTTTTTAAAATGTTATTCTTGTTGATTTGATTCGTATAAATTATATGACCATTAAGAATGACGTTTATTTTATTTTCTTCTCTCTTGATTTCCTTTCTTTTTTTCTGTGTTTTTTTCCTACCTAATTGTTGTAAATGTCAATTTGTGTTGAAATTATGTTTGTTTGTGTGTGTGTGTGTGTGAATGGTTTTTTATGTTTCGTAAATGTATGTTTGATCACATGTTTGAAATTGTTTTTCTTTTATTTTGTTCGGTACGGGTTTTTATTTTCTACATAATATTGTTTGATTTTATTTCCTCTCCGTTTGTAATTTTCTTCTTTCTTTACTGTCTAAATTTGTCTACCTAAATGTTATTACTTTTGTTCATTTGATATCACTTTCTTAAAAATTATTTAAATACACTAATACAATTTGTAATTGTACTTCATGTTTACTTACAAATAAATAAAAAAATAGTTGAAAGTTGTACATGCTTTTCGAGATCAACGGGATTCAGAAGATGAACGTGCGAATATAGCAGCGTTAATGCATCATCATCGTTCATCAAAAGATGTCTTACAACCAACATCAAAGAAAAGAAGAAAATCACAGCAACTATATAAGAATAATAATGACAATAATAATATTAATTCACATCAACAATCCCATCGTTACCACCACCACCAACAGCGACGACAACAACTTCAACTGACAGATTCCACAGACTTTTCTCCTACTTTCCCAGTTACATCAAATAAGTTAGGAGAAAAAATTGCAGAAGGAAATCCACTGTTAGTTTTAGAGCTAACTAATGATGAAGAAAAGTATCATAATAGCAATGAGCATTGTGATATCAACGATGATGGTAATAATATCAATGTTAACACCAGTCAACAAAGACAAGATCATGATCAGGAAAGTACACTTGCCGAAGTAACAACAATGAAATGCAAGAAGAATAATGATGATAAACAGTTTAAAGAAACTGGTTATGAAATTTCAAAGGAAACTACAGACAATATGATAAATCCAGATCTTGAAGAATGGATTAAATCGAGTTGGTTACATGATTCAATTGGGCAAGAAAACATAAGCTGTACTGTGCCAGAATCATCATATAATATGGGAAATAATTTTCAACTACAAAATAATCCTTCAGCATGTACATTTGAGCGTCAAGATTCAAATACCGTTGTAGTTGGAAGAAATCAACATTCAAATCGGCCGCACAAACAAAGAAGATCAAGTAAACCACCTGCTCCGCCACCTCCACTTAAACAACCATTTAGTACAGCTACCTCAGACAGCTCTAATTTACTTTAAACTTCCTGTGATATACATCAGTCCAACTGTTTATTCTTAAGTTTCATCTACCTATATTATTGAAAAGAACATGATATATAATCTCTTATTGTTTATATAATAATGCATTGTTCCTCAACAAATTAGTGAATAAACATATTACTTCTTACTCTACATTAAAAAAGAATTTATCTATTACTTGTAAATTAAATCTGAAGATATTGTCTACTAGAAACATTGTTCAATTTGTAATCTCAGTGAAATCTTCATTCATATCTATGAAACTCTATACGTTAAAACTGAGATTCTTACTTCATATATAGAATTTCATCTTAAATAATTATTTACTAATTATTTAACATTCCCCTTTACATTTCATTCATTTCATATAAGAAGAAATAGAGATTTGCCTAGCAGTTTAAAATTTGCTCAATCATCAATTACAGTGATTTTTATTATCATCATCACCATCATCATTATCATCAACAACAACTTCCGTTTTGGAAATCACTTTGTTTTCCAACGTATATTTAAAGAAAACATTTTTTATATTATATACTACTTCTATATTCTTACCGTCAATTACTTTGGTTTATTTAAATTAATTCTAATATAATGTTATTGTATTCAAAGAAATATTAACTTAATGATTCCCTCTCTAAAACATCTTATTCCATCAATCTATTTATTTTCTATACTTTAATGAAATTTATAAAAAATAATAATTTTTTTCAGCACATTCTTCAAGTTCGTTTTTTTTTTTATTAACAATTTCACACAGTAGATTGAAAAGCACAAATTTTCCCTCTTTTATTTTTAAACAAACAAAAATCAATAGAAAAGAAGAAAAAAACTAATGTGCACATATAATTATGATAATGTAATTCATTTATTATTCTTTTGTTATATGCATGGTTGTGAAATGTATTCATTGAATGCTTGAAATCAATTTTATTATCGTTATCAATATTGTTATCGTCATCATCGTTCAATTATGTAATATATATATATTCAAACAAAACAACTACATTTTATTCCACTGAAAGGTAAGTTATCTTTATATATAATGTGACTACTAATTTACTTTCCTCCGCTTATTCGTTTTTCAACGTTGTAATCATTATTATTACTATCACTACCATCATTGCTATCATATGTTTAATTCATTATCATTATTATCATTGTGATTTTATTTTACACACTGAAAGATTTAATTAATTTTATATATTTAACTTTCAGTTTGATTTAAGTTAATAATTAATGTTTTCAAAACAAAAAATGAAACTTTATTTTTCTATATTTGTTGTTGTTGTGCACATGTTGATATATGTGAATGAGCTTCAATTTTGGTACGAAATTTATTAATTTTGAGATAAAAACAAAAATTTAATAAATAAACATCCGTGGAAAAAAACCATTAGAAAGTAGACAGTGATTACTCATGAGAGTTTTCTTCAACTTCTTGTGTTATTCCTTTAGACTCTTGATACAACTTTCTTTTTTACTTTACCATTATTAGGTTTATGTGATATGATAATCACCTAATATTGATTTTTCACACTACAGTATGTCTTGTACACAATAGAATAGCTTTTGTATGTAAACTGCCCTTTATATATATATATATATATATATATATATATATATATATATATATATATATATATATATATATATAAACCTGAAGTTTGTGCTAATAATGTTATTGAGAAGAACAGTGAACGCTTCATAATTAGACTGTCCAGATCAGTGAACAACACTCTACCTAAATCAACCACCTGAACTATAGATCTCCACTATCCCATATATATATATATATATATATATATATATATATATATATATATATATATATATATATATATGGATTATAAGAAGCAATAATTAAAAATAAATATAAAACCATTGAATAAAAATAGAAAACTTTAAGTTGAATGTCATCCATTATTAAAGATAATCTATTTTAACGATTTATAAAATAGCTTTTCCCAATCTTCTTTGATATTTTTAATTTTATGAAGAGTATAAAGAGTATTAATGGCTAGTTATTTAGTTAATTATTGTTTTAATAGTGAAATCAACTTGTCAACAGTTATTAACAGTTATTTGAAATTCTACAATTTTAAATATCGTTTGGTTACCAACACAACTTCAAGTCATTGTTTTAGTTTGATTTTTTGTTTACATAACATTGTTCTGTACTGACTACGCTTAAAATATAAATTCATTGTAAAGCCTTTCTACTATTTATAATTTACTTATAAGGGAAGTTTTCATTTCTATACACTAACAACAATGACCGTTACTGTTGTTATTAGGTTTACGTGATATGATAATTACTTAATATTTATTATTTTCCGTACTATAGTATGTCTTGTCACAAGAGAAGATCCATTGTATGTAAACTGCTCTCTCTCTCCCTATATATATATATATATATATATATATGTATATATATATATGGATTTGTCTGGTTTATTATTTTATTTCCATTGTAATTCAATAATGAAAATAAATTAACTGTCCCAACAAAAAACTCTATCTAATTTTTAACTTGCCTCATAATCATTTACATTATTTGCTTATTTTTAAGCCGTCATTTGAACCATTGAAACTAGAGATGCCATTTCTTAGTATGAAACACAAGCATGATATTATAGTTTCTATATGGATAGTTTATGACTAGTTTTTCTTCCTATTATTTGGTTAGTGTTGTGTTTTTTTCATTTTACCCTATCACTGTTAGATCACATTTTGCACGTCAACACATTCTCCTAGCATGTATAATAATAACAATATTGATTGGTCCATTCACTGATGAGCACCTTGTTTCAGAAAATGTAAAAATAGTTAATCTTTTTTTCAACCTTTGAATAATTCATTTATTTTTATTGTTGATATGATAGAATGAAAATAATTAGGTTTTTATTTTTTGCTTAAGATAAGATTGGGAAAGAATATCGACATTCATAAATAAAAGATTTCGTATAGAATATTTTGCATGATATTAAATTTAACAGAATACTGTAAAGATGCCCAAGTATGTGTATGCATATATATATACATATATATATATAAATGTTTAGACTCATTCTATATTCCTATATACACGTATATTTATTTATTTATTTATTGCTCAACTCATATAATGTATTCAAAGCATGCAATCAGTAAGAAAGAATAATTATTTGAATTATCATTAATTGTATTTATTATTCTTTTAATTCTTTGGAAACGTTGGAAAAACAACACATATAACGTCATTGTGGGGAATGTGTGTGTGTGTTCATTGGATGGAATGTGACAGCTTCGTGCAATCAGAGCATTTCGTGGTGGTTATTCAAGTAAACTATGTGATATGATGGAATGGAGTAATCAATCGAAACGATATGTCAATCAATCATATATTTCACATTCATATCAAACAATAAATCGTTCATCAACAAATGTTTCAAAGAATAATGAAGAAGTACTTACGAAATCAGTAATTCATTTGAAAGACGATAATGATGATGATAATAAAAATGATAATAATATTGGTGATGACGATAATAATAATAACAATAATAATAATAATAATAACTCTAGTACAGTCAATCAAGAAAAATAGTTTTACAGAATTTCTTCTCAGAACTTTTAGAAAAGTATTTTATACAACCAACTAAAAGAAAATAGATCTACTGTCATCATTCTAACTCTTTCTTTAACAACATACATTTATATATTTTTCAGATGAAAAAGGTATTCAATTAAATCAGTAATTAAGAAGTGTTTTCACTGCTTAATTAACATTATGAATTAAATTTTACCTTGGGTGAATTTTACTCATGTTTTACTATTATTATTATTATTAATAAAATCATTATCACATGTCTACTAAAACCATTTGCCATTATTTACTATTTTTTACACAATTACTATTCCTATCTACTAATATTTACAATTATATATGTATAAAAGATTGTGATATGGTCTAAATTACTTAAGCATATTTCATTTGCATACAACATTACAATCTTAATGTATGTATATGTGAGAATTTATGTGAAATATTGAGATGAAACAATCAGTATAATAAACAATATACATTATCTTACTATTCAAGAATTATAGAACAGTTCAATTTAAAAATAATTGTTGATTACAAAAGTGAATATTCTCTGATATATTTTTACTCATTCAAATTATGAGCATTTTTCTCCCTCGACAGGTATTATTCTATAAATAAGACTGAATAAGGCTGTGTGAGGTTATATATACATATATTGATTTTTTTTTTAAAAAAAACACAAACAACTATAACAGATGGACTATATCACCTTTTCTCATATTCCTCTAAATTCTTCATATTTAAAGCACAGTAACCATTTAATATCTACTGTTTACTGTTTTAGTGATAGTATTATTAGTTTTGAATTTAGTGTAAAACAACAATATTAACTTAGAAATAGAGTTATAGAATTCCTTCAAACTATTAGCAATTCATCATATTCACAATTTGTCTATCTTGAAGTACACTTAATAAAATAACCTATACGATTGTCTACATTTTTAACCATAAAAACTTGGATAAGTTATTTAAACTGCATGATATATATATATATGATAGGTTCAGAGGGATGAAAAACTATTAGGAATCTCACTATTTTTACGGTTAAATGAAGATAACTCAAAACTCAATGTCATTGTAACCAAATATTCTGACTTTCCTGCAATTATTGTTTTTCTAAACTCTTAATTAGATTTCCAATTTTTAAATAAGATTCCATTTAATGAGAGAACAATTTTCCTCTTGTAGTTCAGATACTTAATTAGTTGAATAATATAATATCATCAAACAATACAATACTGTACTTACAGACTTTATATGTGTATGTATGGACATATTCAAAAATACATACATATTTCATCTTGTCATTCATTCTATCCAGTTTCATTTTTATTTCTTTCATTTGTTCTTGCTCTTATCTTATTAAATTTATTACAACATATAATAAAATGTGAACAGGAATGATAATTTCTTTTACCTATTCTATTGTCCTATTCATTCTGTTTATTATTATCTGAACTATGTTGTTTAAAAATATACATCATTTCTCCTAATAAAAAAATATACCCTAACTACAATACCAGTCAATTATTATTATTACTATTGATTCTATTGTCTTCATTTGATTGAATCTGACTTTTATGATGGTAATTTTCTCATTCAAATTTAGTTTAAAATCATGATATTATTTTTTCTAAAATTTCAATTAATGATTGTATACATTAGGTTTACAAATTTTGATGTATGAACTGAATATATATATCTATATATAATTGAAGAAAACAAATATATACTGTTATAAGTCTTCTTATATTGATTACATTCTTTTGTTACTGACGCCTCCACTGTGATGCGCTTTCAGTGAGAAAATGAGATTTCATGTTTGTTTGTTTCTGTTTGAAAAAAAGACTTCTCTATCTAATTACTGATAAATGCATGCTTGTTATTTTCAAGTTGATACATTGTTCTTAATGAGCAGCAATAAATAAACATTGTGAAAGCTGAAAGAATCCCTAACGATAACGAAAGAAATATTGAGGATGATCACCACTGTTAAAACGAGTTAATAACGTATTTCCAGCTCTGAGTCAATTGATGTTGTTTCAGTGTAACACCACACTATCAGGGAATCTTATAAATTATTTTACCATTATATTACGCCGATTTGTTTCAAACCATGATAATTAAACTAAATATAAGTGATTTCATGAATTACTGTTTATTTGTTTTTCAATTTTCCCAGGGTAATTGATGCTTATTCAAATAATTAAATTCTTAATAAGTGATTTAATTATTAATTTACAGAATTGCTTAATCAGGTAGAGGATAACACTAATGCTAGTCAGATTTGCGAATAATTATTCCTTAATAGTTTCTAGCAATTAATCACTTCTAAATCCTAAATCATATACTTATGAATATAGAATGTGAATTTTATAAGTTCGCAAGAACTGTAACTCAAATATCAGCTACTTTATTTAATATATTAATCATCAACCTTGTGTTTACTAATGATCACTGTTATCACTGCAATCGTTACATATGATTTCATATGACATTTAATTGAGTGTTCTCATAAGGATAATAGGTCCTAGTTCTGTACTGTCCTTGAAGATCGATGGACAAATAATAGAAATGACTTCTGGGGAGATTATGAACTACATTATGAGCATCACACCGTTGTATAATAGTCAAACAATAATTACTTTGAGTCTATAGATATCCGTTTTACACCCGTAAAACCTACGTAAGACTATTCGTCATTGTTATTATTACATGTAATCAGGGATATGATTATAGAAAGGATATTTTACAAAAAATAAGTGGAGAAGCAACGCTTTTTCCATGACGATTTCAACAATGAGCTCACAGAAAAATACTTATTATATACATGAGTAGAAGTTTTAGACTGTTACACTACTTTTGTCTAGAATCTATTATCTTAACCAGGATCTTATCAAAAAAAATTTATATCACATATCGTTAAACTTAAAGCACTTCAAAAGGATTTATAGATCAGGCGGTTGAAAGCTTGGTTCTTCTGATATTATAAGAGTATTCAGTACAATAAACGGTCCGGCAGAGTAAAAGCCCTTTTATGAAAGAAATGAAGTAACTTGAAAAGCAACTACATAGTTTTAAAGATAGGCTCATCTGTAATTTTTATCCGTGAATCTGTCGGATATGATTGGATGAAAGCTACGTTAACTTATTTCTTATTCAACATTTGGAGTCACCTATCAAATCGTTATTGGGAACAAAAGAAACGTATAAGGGAAATTATCTTTAGGGATAGTCGCTTATATTAGTTGAGGTAAGTAACAAACTTCATTAGAGTTGCATCCAACCATTTTTATTCTTTCGATTTTTATTTGACATAGTATGTATCAAACAAAATATGGTTTGTTTTCATTAACCTACAATTCCTGTAAAAGTTTAGTATTTACTCACTTATCACTGGGAAAACATGTTCATTGATGTAAAAGCACAAATTCAAAAGCGAACAGATATCAGTTATCTACTGAGTGACAGGATAGTGAACTCCTGCAGAGCTAAAGATGACACCTTAAGCATTCATTCGGCCTATGCAGCGAAAACACATCTAAATTTAAACAATATTAAAGTGAGATAGTTAAGTAATCTCTTGGAAGCGGCTAACTGCATTCGACAAAATAAACTGCAATCATCAAGTTAGGTTATATTAGAAGCCAAGATGTTTTACATCATACACACTATTCGCTACTATGAACTTTTACAGGTTTTATTAGCTAATATTAACTTAAGCCAGTTTCCCGGTTAATATTATGCATACGCAGAATACTCACAAGTTAAGAAGACATTAAGAAAGTACAGTATTTCCAATTTTTGAAACTAAAACTGTGATAACTGATAAGCGTTAAAAGTTTAAGCAAAAAACCGTCTTTGGCAATTCTAGTGCTTTTGTCAAACTCCTCAAACTGTTTCTATGATTAGATTAAAAAGAAAGCCAACAGTTGATAAACATCTCTGAACAAGTCAGAGTTTCACCATTATACGATGGCTTCCAGGTTACCGTTTTTATGCAAATATCTCGGCAGTGTTCACATTGACAGTTCAATTACCTGGGAATTTTTCCTGATTTAGAATAATTCCGAAAATATTTCCTGACATAATTGGAGTAACCTCAAGACTGATGGTCTGATATATTTCTTGGAGTAACTTTTATCGCTCTTGACAGTTCGTCAAAAATGCTGATATATCACAAGCAACACAACGAATATTCGAAAATCCAATAAAATTCACGGTGTTAATGATTATAAGCTTAGAGTTTCAGGAACGAATCGACGGTAACCCTGAAAGTTAAAGAGAGATTTTGTAATAATTAAACAGCTACATCAAGAAAAACCAATTAGACGACTTGGACTTTGCAGATGACCTAGCCCTCCTATCGCATACACACGAACAAATGCAGATAAAGACAGCCAATGTAGCAGCAGTTTCTGCATCACTAGGCCTCAACATACACAAGGGGAAAACCAAGGTCCTCAAATACAACACGGAGAACAGCAATCCAATCACTCTTGATGGCGAAACTCTGGAAGATCTAGGATCCTTCACACACCTGGGAAGCATCATCGATAAACGAGGAGGATCAAAAGCAGACGTAAAGGTGAGGATTGGCAAAGCAAGGGCAGCATTCCTACAATTGAAGAACAAAACAACTTTCAACCAATATAAAAGTCAGAATATTCAATATGACTGTTAAGACAGTTCTACTGTACGGAGCTGAAACTTCGAGAACTAATATAACCATCATCAAGAAGGTACAAGTATTTATAAATGGTTATCTAAGCAAGACACTTAACATCCATTGGCCGGATAGCATCAGCAACAGCCTTCTCTGGGAGAGAACAATCCAGCTCCCAACTGAAGAGGAAATTAGGGAAAGACGATAGAAATGGATAGGACATACACTACACGAATCACCAAACTGCATCACGAGGAAAGCTCTAACTTGGAATCCTGAAGGGAAACGGAAAAGAGGAGTGTCAAAGAACACATTACGTCGGGAAATAGAATCAGATATGAAAAGGATGAATAACAACTGGAAAGAGCTGGAAAGGATTGCTTGGGACAGGCCTGGATGGAGAATGCTGGGGAGCGGCCTATGCTCCTTCACGGGGAGTAACAGACGTAAGTAAGTAAGTACATCAAGAAAGCCGTTTCGTTAACTTTTAAAGGATTACTAAGAAGTCAACTAACTACTGATGTGGAGTTGAAGCTAGCATTCATTAAACCAACCATCCTGTTCCTTTGAGTATGTATTTATGGAGATTTTACTCTTGCTCTCGAAACAATCATAAGTTCGTATATTTTCAGTCTCTATCGGAAAGTGGATGCGAGGTTATTCAACTATACTGACGTAAGTAGAATCACCTCTGTCGACACTTTAACTGATCGTACTCGAAAAGCAGGCAGGAACGGGTTTTATCAGTAACTAAACAGATAGGAAATATTAGATGAACCTAGTATTACAAGCGAATTAGATGAGGTACATCCAATGTCTGTTATCAACCAGAGAGCTTAAGCGCAGACAACTCATACACAGTTCCCTTCACAAATGTTGGAATGATTCTGGAAAGTTATCTAGCTGGAACACCTATAGAAACATGGTAAACCGAGTGTCCACCTTTGAGTGAAGTTGTTGTTGCATAGACCTGTAAATATGGCCCGTATATTAATATATGTAAAAACTACTGAGATATAAGTTTCCCACCAATTGAGTTTGTTCCGAATGACAATTAGAAGAACAAATCACAGTAAATAACAAATTAATTGGCAAAACTAGGTTTAATTTCATCAATACGAGCAGTAGTGCTCGATAGTTATTCACTACTGCTGCTTTCCTCTATATTGTCATCAATGATACTATGGAGTTTTAAAGTGGTTAGCGTGTTTGTTTTTTGGAGAAACTTCCAATACTAAGCATGCAAATACCTGATAAAATGGGGGTTATTTAACTAAGTCTTTAAAAACCAACGACTGTTGTTGACGCCTCCAGCTGTAAAAAATATATTGCTCAGTACCCAGAAGCTATTTTACAAACTATACATTTGGTTTATCTTATGGAGATTGAGCTTACTGTTGTGATTACATTTACCAATGACTTGAATGGAAAAGTAGGAAGGGATATAAACAGTTGCATTTTTAGACAAATTAAAATACTAGTACTTGAGCAGGTTATCGAGGTAGTTAGGTCAAGTTGAAATACTTAGTGGATGTCTCTTATGCTATATTGTACTGAAAGTCGTTGTTTTGTAGGTTGCATTATGAAACAGATGTAACGAAAGTACCAACAAATTGCTAAAATTACATTTTAGCACTGAAGGGAAAAAACTAACCAAATAAGATTTTCCGCTCACAATCTACACACCATCCTACAGAAATAACTATCACAGTAACATAATGACCATTGCAAGAGATCAAGAAACAAACTCCTAGTTGACGGCTTATCACTGGATAAAGTGTATATGCGTTCCAAATACCGGACAAAATAATTATCAGTTCCATCGTACTGAGTTATCAAAGTGCTGTCAAGTTTACGCTGAATATTATCAACAGGGTAAAAATTATTATGTGGCATAAACCGATATCCACTTAGTCGAATTAGGAGTACGCAGATGATGTAATCCTGCTTGGCAAAAGACGGTGACAAAATGCAGCCTTCTGTCAAACTTCATTAAAAACTGTTAAGTAGTCCTAAAACAGGTACAAACAACATTCACGAAATGAAATTGAAAATGAATTACTATTAGCTAATTAACAGATAATAAACTAATTCGGCAAATACTGAGATCTGTACTAAAGAAGTGGCTGTTTTTTTAAAAACAATGGACAACTGTCTAAAATACTAAGAGGTATATTGATACATAAAAAAACGTATACTCACAGGGTATTGACGCCTAAGAAATGTTACCTAGTAATTCTTATTTACCCAATCTTCAGATTAGAAAAGGCTCTGTAGAAATCACAGAACGCGGACGAAAATTTGGTGTTCGTTGATGTATCCATTGACAGTTTTAGTGTTACCAAGGTGATTAAGTACTGATGCATCTGATATGGTACAATGAAGATTAATTAGAGTAACTGATATGTGGTAGTCGGGCAACTGAAAACTGATGACCTAACAATTAGACTATCGCTTCCCACAAAGCTCTACGCAAAGGATACGAAGTACATCTTAATTAACCTAGTGTTAAAAGCTATCAAAAACAAAAACTTCCATTCACATACTTTTATGATTGAGTCGCTGACAGATCATATGAATTTCGAAAATACAGGCAAAAAAATAAGTACAAGTTTCAAAATTGGATCATTTTGGAAGAAATGAAGATTGTGATTTATATGTACAACATGACGTATCTATCGTATTTAGTGTATTATTACTCGTATATAGTTTCGATTGCCAAAAGCAGTGCCGCAACAAAACATGACTGAACTTACACAAACATTGATTTACTGAGTTTGATAGGTCCAGTGAAAGTATTTTCTAAGCGTGTAAATATATATCAGAATAATATATGACCAGCCGAAAAGCAGGCTTCAGTTTTGAAACTCTACAGAGCCACCTACGATGGCGGAAACCTCTTCGCTGAGAAGAGAGTGCAGAGATTTGCCATCATGTTTATAGATCCACAAACCCATCGATGGGATATAATCGTAACGTTTAGGGCCACTTTGAGGAGAAGAAAGCCATAACTGCTTGTTTGGGGCCTGACGATTAATAATATAAGTCCCAACTTGAGGACCAAAAGTGACCTTCAAGACACCATAGGCGTGTTCGACATCATATTCTTTGTTTAACGCAAAGCGTTCTGGAAGTTGTTCAAAAGAGTCTGCTAGTAACTCCAAAGTTTTCGTAGATACACGCTCGTATTCAGCATCGGACAATGAGTTTGGGCAAGATAGGTTAGTGAATCCTATTTTAGCTAAGTGAGTAACGTAGACTAAGTCAGGTCTTTTAAGAAAATGAAAAGAATGAAAACAAGTAGAAGATTTCCTCAAATGCTGTAGTACAGTACTGTAACGCATTATTTAAAACACCTCCAGCCAAAAAGTAAATACTTTTTAATATCCGACATTTTTCAGAAGAGCTAATAAAGACTAGTTGACTTTCTTGTACTTTCCTCTTGATGTTAAAGTACTGCTACAAGTCTCTGGTGCCGTATAATTAAGGTCGTAAAAGGTAGGTATCACAGTATACGCAGAAGTGCTCTGATCAGGATACTTGACAAAGTGACTTCCGTTAGGTGTGTGTCCAGCAAAATTAATGAGGCCAGTAAAACTTTCAAAGGCTTATGAAATCATTTATTTTGGTAGTTTCTCAACTAAAACACATGCATTAGGTACAGCCACTAATGCATGAATGAATTCGTGGCTGTTCACCTCTTTTTAAAACTATTTACTGAAGGGGCTGTAGTCACATCAGGCAGGAAAGGATTATTGTCAGATCCAACACGTACACATATGAAATATGTTCTTGCTTGCCTATGGATTCTTTCAGACGCAATTTGTCACTGCTTGCCTCTTGTTGTTTTCAGAGTGGTCAGGAGTGTGAGGTATAATGTATACCTCGAACAATTTGCTTTTTATTGTCCAGTGGCCTCGCGAGTACGATCTCAGGCAAAAATCCCGGTCTAGATAGTTTTTGTCCTCCAATCCTTCGACCCATGTTGCCGCACACCTCCGTAATAATTCCAAGAGATATATCCATTTTGTACAAATGAGGCAACGATATGGTGGGTTTCTAGGTTCTAATTCATTGCTTTTTAATCAGCCATTATGAGGACTTTTTCGAACGACGATTGACTTGATTTACTTGCCAAATTAACTTGTCGCAGATTATCGTAGTAGAATAGTGTGGTCAGAGCAAAATTGGAATCATTAGTCTTGGAATGGACAGGCTGTATATCACTGATCGACTGCCTCATCCTCAGCCGTACTTTATCACGAACGTAATATATATGTGAGCCTCAGGTAAGGACTATGTTGCAAAGGGAGAAAAGAAATTCTTGAGAAGGCCTAAAGTCGAGAACAAATCAGGGCATGCCTTTTTCCGTGAACATTCAAATCCTAGGTGATGGCATCAGCAGAAGTAGTCGACAGGTATGTTTGTTTCGACAATTTCGCAAGTGCAGTAATGTTGTGCTTATCCCACCTTCGGTATATCAGATAGGCATAAGTTGTAAAAATCAAAACGAACAGTATTCAATACCCAAATCTTATAAAAAATGATTCTAGATTCGTCTGTAAACAAGCTACGAGGAATGAAACCTGGCAATATTCTCTTTCTAAACGCTTTATTGAGGAAATTTTCAGGGACGTCAAGAGTGTGATCCACTATAAGGTCAATTACTGACGCAGTTCAAAGCAGTACGTTCTTGCCAAGTGTTAGTCTTATTTCAGCAAACGTTTCTCCAATCCTGATCCAGCCAGCACCAGTTGTGTTGACTACTAAACTCTAACGTTTACATCAATGACGTACTCTGTTGAGTTCCTGCAATCTTGATTACACAATGCCTTGCACGCTGCAAATGGGATTTTCCACTGATTTGATGGAGCACGTACTTTACTCTTTTGAAGATTGCTTGTTCATGATAGAATCAAGTAGTGCCGGCACATAAGAATCTTCAACTGAAACAAAGATGAGCTCGATACCGGTTGAGGTTAAAGATGTATTTGTTCATGGAATTACGTGAAATATTTGTGCGAAGTGTTTAGGATTGAGGAACCATTCCACTGCATGTTGGAGAGTGAACTGTAGCGGGTGCTTGATTGAGCACATACGGTTAGATTGTGTCCAGCAAAATTAGTAAGGATCAATGTCAAATACCCGAGAGATATGTTTCAAAAGATTATTTATCGTTACAAATCTAAAAGACGAATGACGTTGTTATGAATTATTGATCATGTCTGTGAAAGTAGTATGTAATTGCTCTGTCAGAAAATATTTTGTCTATGGAATTTTCAGTGAATCGAAAGGGTGGCTTACATACCATCTATCTTGCATTCCTAAGGTCACTTCACCATGACTGAACAGTTATTTTATCCATAATCGCCTTGCTTATTACACATTCTGACATTACGAATTGTCTAAGAAGCCGGTTTCAAAAAGAGGTAGCATAAGCGAGAGGCGAAATTCGTAACGCAGAATTTGAACAGAGTTTGATGACATATAAGTTATCAGGAAATTTTCAGCTTGCGAGCAATGCCACCACATGGTCATCACTATGTAACATCTTGCTTTCTTTACAAAATATATAATTCTCCTCTCACCCCAAACGTGTTCTTCAATCGCAATCACTTGCTGTCACGATACGACAAACCAGTCTAGTTAAAGATGTGACTCTCACGTGAGGTCTGATTGACCACGTAGTTACGCCATAGAAAATCCACGGTTGCTGAATGTGCCTGTCATCGTAGTAGCATTTCTACGTGTTCTAATACCAACCTAGACCATACTTTTGTAAAATTACGGCTCCTTATGGTCCAGGGGGGTGTAAGTAATCAATAGTATCGATGCTAATTTCTCATGCTAAAAGCCTCTATGACTCATGTGTGTGATCTTGGATTGGTTTCATTTCCTACCGAAAGGTCCTATTATAAACAAAACTAGACGAATAAACTAAACAGGAGTTCACTTATATCTCTACAAAATTTTAACAATAAAATCGGTTATAATAATTTTGACGATAAAAAGCCGGCTGATATTTTCCTTACTGAATTTTAAAAATATACACCATCTTAAGCTTTCGGAGATTGAATCATATAATTTTACATAATGCTTCGTTCAAGCTATACTCTGGCTTGTCTTCTTCAACCTAACGAAATATACTCGCTCAGAAATTGACCCAATACAAGAGAATAAGTCTAAGTACTCAAATGACTAGTGACTGAACTATACTATTCATATGCACTGACTGTTCTGCTTCTTGCCTTTACGTTTTCCTCTCTCATTCTCAAAACCGTCATGGTATACTACCGAAAACATATGTGGAACATATGACTTCATCCTGCGCCGTCACAAGTACCTCAAACATTTAACTGGGATCGCTATTAAGAAGCACAAAATAATACGTTGACGTCTTTGGCTGGCTGTTTATGAATTCGCCTCATAACTTCTTATCATAAACAACTATGGACTTGAGTCGTATTCATTATCGACCACCGTTCGCCTATCGCAAAACAGACTTCACAAAGCACGCAAGCTCTTACACTGAATAGTCTTACTAACATTATAATAACTCTCAGCTTAGAGGCAAATTAGATTATTTTTATTGCATTATATGACTATATGTGTATGTAACAACTTGTGTCGGTTGGTAAAGAGTTGACCACAAGCTTCCTGACATTGTCCAAAAATTATAGCTCAAGTATTCACTCACCTTATTTTGTATAGACATCATATTTCCTTTTATTTTATAATGAATGCTTACAAACTTTGTGACTGAAAATGCAAACTTCACTGTTCAAATGTTCTGTTCCATGATCGAAATGAAAACCCACTCAACATCAGACTGGTTTCTTCTGTCGATGTAACAAGGGATACCCACTGGCACAAGATATTGATTTTCAGTAAAAGCATATATAAGCACAAAAATGTCAACAAGGGGCCTTCTACTCTGACTAGTATTTTTATCTCGAAACCTGGAGCGGACCGTCTTAAAATTGTGGAAAACTTAGAAGCGATTCCATATGTTCGAGTCACTGGCGTTCGAGCCATCGTCAAATTATAATTGTCATCATACATTTATGAGAGTAGTTAAATGCCTTTTTACAGACGCAATTTATATTTTAAAACTGCCATGCACATCAAGAGTGCTACCAAATTACCCTCAGGAGAGACACACAAGAATATGATGAAGATTTCAGTATTCAGTCTTCATGAAAACGTATCAGCTAATTGTTAATCAGATGTAAATAGTAGAACGGCTCATCAAGTTTGTATTTATTATCGAGTGACAAGGACCAGGCCCATAATGTTGGTAAATGCGTACTTCAAAACTTTGGTCCACGTTAAGGAAGAAGATTTTCTGAATGCGTGCTATAATTGTGACGCTGAAATAAAAAGATAATGGATAAGCACCCTCAAAAGCGCCTATATATCTTCAAGTGGGCAAACAATGTTGCATTTAACTAGTTTACAAAGCTCATACCATTTGCATCCACTAATATATGTAGTAGTTATGAAAGCTGCAGATAATTTACGGGTTCGAATAACACACACAAAATCTAGGACATTTGTGTCCCAACTAAAGCCATATCACTTATCCACTGGTCTGCCTCTGGGTACTAGAAGAGCTCCGAAACAGAACACTCCGACCGTTAGAGAAATAGAGCCAAATTGGAAGAAAACTACCCTATGGCGAGAATGCCGCCCTCACTTAAACTATGGTGAGATATACAACGTTTTAGAACTCAGTCTACCACGACGACTCCCAACACCGTACATGTTATAATAAGCCAAAAGACCTGGATTGTCCAAGTGTCATCTTTAAAATGACATTCCTTAATAATTAGCTCTGTTACTGAGTGACAACTTAGTAACAATCTGTGATAATCGGAAGTATTTGAATTATAGTACGAACTAAGAATCCAAGAATTAGCATAATCGGATCAAGAAGTACTAGATAACCACAAACGAATGTACTGTATTTAGAATTTGAAATCAAGCATTCGACAAGTACAAAAGTATCATTAGTTCATTCAAACACCACATCCGCCCCAGCTTAAATTGGGGTCTAGGTGTCTGTAGTCAATTGCACGTCTTCTCAAGTTCATCCTGTGTCTGTCGATCAGTGTATTGGATAAGGACTCTGTATTATCTAGAATGTGCTCATTAGCATTAGAATTAACAACCGAAATTGGGACTGACTCACCTGGTTCCTGAAATTGTATTTGATCAACATGTCGACTGTGTGTACTTAAGTCATTGATGTCTAGAATTCGCACCATAGATTTCCCGACATTCTTCAGAACAATTCCCATGGATGTTTGAAGATCATTTCCACGATAATATGTACCTTCTGCAGACTCCAAACATCTCATATTTGACCGAAGAATTCTTCCTTTCAGTAGCTTCGCTGGAGTCTCCTTCGTCACCGAATGTCTGGTATTTCTATATTGCAATAGAAAGGCATCTCTCCCTTCTCCAGCTTATTTAATGTTGAGGCGGCTATAGAATTGATAGCAGTTTCTAATGTCCTGACAAAATTCTCTGCGTGGCCATTAGAACACGGAAGTCTGGGAGCAGTAAACAGATGTTTGCACCCTATACCGTTCAACCAGGTATTGACTGCATCTGCAGCAAAATGACAGCCATCATCGGTCACTAACACCATGGGCA